ATATTGAAAAGTATACCCATTACTTATCTGCATGCTGCTCTGTTGTAGTCTTTGTGACTTTCAGTAGGTGTTTTTCTGTTTTTAAGAAGCAACACGGCTTGTGCATCCACAGAGTTTAGTGCTAACATCCAATCACTTCCCATTTTTCAAACTAATTTTAAGCTGAGCAGCTGTTGTAAATGGCACTTCTGGAAATTTGAAAATAATCCTGTAATTCTTACTGCACAATTTTGTTGTAGGTTGTTATGCATTATGAAGAAAGAAATGTAGTTTTGTTTTCAGAGTTTAGCATAAAACTCCAGTTTACTATTACAATTAAGAATTTAATTGTACACTGGATATTTGATGGAAATAATTCAGACAATAAACATGAGCTCCATAATATAATTTTTTTAATTGCTATAAAGTAGACATATCTGTTTCTAAGAGAATTACTTTTTTGCCCAGAGGCAGGACTGAAAAACTGGACATTGCAAGTTGTTAGTTATTTTAGATGCAGAAGCTGGGAGTCAAGGATAAGGAGCAAAATCAGCTGTTACTCACTACTGGAAAACACTGATGAAATTTTTAACAGGATTCAAGACTGCTTGGAGGATCCAAGGTCTCACAGCATGATGGAAAAAGCTGGAGGCAATGTGCTGGCGGTTAAGCAGATAGTGAAAGACTTGCTCTAGACAGGTTATTTAGCACATCTGAAAACTGATGGTAAAGTTGCATTACAGCTGACTATGTTCTTTATGCCTTCCCAGGGTAAGATCCTCATTCTTTATCACCATCAGATGTGAATCAATGCAGAGAGCCTGTTCTGAGTGTCCTTCAGCTTCTGTTTTTGGATCCTTCTTCCTCCATGAGTACCGCCTGTGTTTACATCTTTTGCTCTTGCTTGCAACTTTTGTAACTTGACAGAGACTTGACATTGAATTGTTTCAGAACTGCAGATTCAGAACTGACAGAAGCAGCATCGAGTTCTCCACAGACATAGTTTTGGCATTATCAAGCTGATACTCCTGAAAGACAAATGTGGGAGGTTGCCCTTGGCTGAATGCCAGGGTCCCACCAAAGTGCTCTATCACTCTCCTTCCTCATCTGGACAGAGGAGAGAAAAAATATAACAAAAGAATTGTGGGTCAAGATAAGGACTGGGAGAGATCACTTGCCAATTACCGTTATGAGAAAAACAGACTTGGGGGAAAAAAAGAATTTAATTTATTACCAATCAAATCAGAGTAGGATAATGAGAATTAAATCCAAATCTTAAAAACACCTTCCTTCCACCCCTCCCTTCTTCCTGGGCTTCACTCCCAGTTTTCTCTGCCTCTTCCCCACCAGCAGCACAGGGGGATGGGGAGTGCGGGTTGCAGTTAGTTCATCACACATTGTCTCTGCTGCTCCTTCTTTTGTAGGGGAGGACTCCTCACACTCTTCCTCTGTGCAGCATGGGGTCATCACACAGGAGACAGTTCTCCACAAACTTCTTCAGTGTTGAGTCCTTTCCACAGGCAGCAGTTCTTCATGAGCTGCTCCAGTGTGGGTCCCCCATGGGCTCACAAGTCCTGACAGGAGCCTGCTCCAGCGTGGGCTTCCCACAGGGTCATAGCCTACTCTGGGCACATCCACCTGTTCTGGTGTGGGGTCCTCCACTGGCTGCAGGTGGAGATCTCTTTGCCATGGACCTCCATATGCTGCAGGGGCACAGCCTGCCTCACCAGGGTCTTCACCATGGCCTGCAGGGGAATCTGGCACCTGCCAGAATCTGGCACCTCTGGCACCTGCAGCACCTCCTCCCCCTCCTTCTTCACTGACTTTGGTGTCTGCAGAGTTGGTTCTCTTACGCATTCTCACTCCTCTCTCCAGCTGCAATTGTGCAGGTTTCCTCCCCTCTCCCCCTGCCTTCTTCAGTACGTTATTCCAGAGGCGCTGCCACTGTCACTGATGGGCTCAGCCTTGGCCAGCGGTGGGTCCATCTCAGAGCCAACTGGCATTGGCTCTGTCAGACATAGGGGAAGCTGCTAGCAGCTTCTCACAGCAGCCACCCCTGTAGCCCCCCCTACTACCAAAACATTGCCATGCAAACCTAGTACAACAAGGTAAAGGAATGTATAGTTGTATCTACATGTATTTGTGTCACATTTTGTTCCCACTGGAAAAACTATTTTTCTAGACATACAAAATCTGGAAGTATTTTTCTGTTTTAATTAAAGTTTTAATTCTACAAAATTTATTTTCCTTACTTCCCGTGCCTGCTGGTGGACATTTTGCTGCTAATGTAGATAGATCCTCAACTCTAGTTCCCGAGTCCCATTTTCTGAAGGAATTAGGTATCTGAGACTCCCCTGTATTGATGTGAGCATCACAGAGTGTATTTGTACGGTAGTAGCTTTTCATTATGCTGCTTCTCTCATTGTTAGTTTTTAAAATTTGATTTAAAATGTGAATTTGGAGCTATGTTGCATTAGTAGCTGGACAGTTTTGTGTATACGTGAATGTCCAGAGTAAAAAGTGCTGTGATTTGTGCGTGCATCTTAATAATGTAGTTATTTGCAAAATATTAAATGCTCCTACAGCAATTGTCAGTTGAGAATTTGTGTAATACAAAAATGTAACAGTTTAGTTTGCATATGCATTTAGCTTTCCATATGTGCCCATCTTCATCAGTGTTTAAACACAAAAAAATAAGGTCTGTTTGTAAGTGCCATGGTAGAGTTTAATCTGTTAATTCTGAAGAAGTGGAAGTCGACAACTTAATTTTTAAAGGAGAGAAATCTGGCATACGCAGATGCCTCAGCTGAAATATGCAAAATACTCAAGGAGAGACATGGAGTAATTCACTTGTCCTTGAGCTACATGTCTAATTTTGTAGACAAATAAAGACTCTAAAGCTGCTTTAAAAAAGCCAACTTAACTTTCCATTACAGAAGGTTTCAATCGAGTTGGGGAAGATAGTTCTTGACCAATGGCAGTACATGTCTTTCATTATATAAAAATAAAGAGTAAAAAAACCCAGAATCTCTCAGTAGAGTTATACATGGAGGTCAGGTTGTCTGCTTTTTGTCATTGTGGCATTTGGACAAATTCTGCTCGTCTTTTGGATAAACTGAAAACTGCTATGTTGAGGTAAATTTACAGATTTAAGAGACTGTAGTAATGTCATAAGGAGATAACTGGAAAATTTACCTTTCCCATTTTTGAGAAGCTAAATCTATGTTGGTTGTTTTTTTTTTTTTTAAACCATTGAAGTCAGGAGGAGACTATTCTTCAGAAATTGTGTTTATAAGCTTTAATAAATTTTTGATGAAATAATTAATTTTGCCTATTTAAAAAAATAAAATCATGAAGTTGAACTAACTAGGGATATAGTAGGGAGGAAGTAAGTATTAAATACGTAGGTGAGCATATTTGGCTCAGCAAATCTTCAGGTTCTTCTTCTGTAGACAGAGCAAGAGCCATATGCCAAGCTGTCAGTTGACCTAAGGATGGAGGAAGCTGACAGAACCCACAAAGAAATACAAATAAAGGGACATAAGCATAAACTAGCCAGAAGTCAGAACTGATCTGTCAGTGATGCATTTATTTAGACTGAGGCTTCTCAGATATCCTGGGGCCAGATGAGAACTAGAGAGCACTTCAAATGACAGCTTGCACTGTAACTGGACAGTTACTGGGAAAGGGGATCTGTGTGTCCTGCTTGATTTGGGTGTTACTGAAGAGTGGAAGACTGGCTTTCTGGATTGGTGAATTTCATGAGCAAGCATGCTATCTTTTCTATAGCTTTTTTCTTAAAATTGCAGCAGGTTTATAAAGAGTACATGATATTTGTGTATTAGTTGATGTAAAAGTATTTAAAGCTTTTTATTTGTGTGCTTCGTATTTACATTGGAGCTACATTTATAAAACATATTGTAGCACTTAATTAATGTTGGACTCTTCAATTGGAAAATACTGGGTTTTGTTTCCAGATTTTATTGGTAGGTTCTGTTTAATTTTGAAATTTACTTGGAAAAACCTGCCATGCTTATTTTTCTTAGTTAAACAGAAATTCTGGTTTTGTTAAGAAAAAAATATTTTAAATGGATTTTCTCGTGTAAACCACTATGAAGTGATTAAAAGTGATAAGCTCTTCAAAAGGCAGTGTCTTATAGCATTTGAATAGCTTACATACTAATTGGTTTTTCATCTGTGTGCCTGGCTCACCTGTGACTTTTTGTTCATCAGAATGTTTTGCTACAAGGTAGTGTATCTTGTAATTTGCTCACTGTTTTTAGACTATTCCCTCATTATGTGCTTTGCTCTTTATTATGTTTTCAATAACTTGATCTGCTTTTGAGTTCTAACAAACTTTTTATAAAACTTTATATGATACTTGGTGGAAGAATGGTTTGCTTTTATCTGTTTCTGGTATAAAAATTGGATGTAATTCCTGTAAATTAATTTTGAGGTATTTTATTACTATAAAATTGAAAAATGAGACCAGAGGTTATCTCAATGCATTTGTCCTTTATTTGTACCTTTACTTTTGAATGTCTTGACTTCAAGGTATCAATCTGTAGAACAGTAACTTGCTGGTATGAAGCAGAAAAGGAATTCATTAATAGATTGTTGGTTTGTGTTTAAGAATTTTTTTAAAGCAAACTTTGTAACTGGAAAATAATCTAAATGTCTCTCAGATATGCAGCATTAATTTCCAACTTGTTTTCAGTAGTGATTAGTTTGAAGCTTTATGTTAAACAGCTGGTAAGCCTTTATAGAACATGTCATTAATAATAAAGAGGAAAACTTTCATCTTTAACAAGATTTTGTCTTCTTACAGCTTGCCCAATTTAGGCAGCGGAAGGCACAAACTGATGGTCAGAATGGATCAAAGAAGCAGAAAAAGAAGAAGAAAACGGCAGACATCAAAGATGAAGAGTCAGTACAAGATGGGATTGATACTGATCGATCTCGAAGTGATGAAATATCCACATGCAGCAGCCGAAGGGGAGCAGCTGCTACTGCTGACTTTGCTATTATCAGGACTTTGCATAGTGGAGAAATTATCAAACACAACCAGACTTACACCCTTGAGGTAAGTTTGTCTCAGGCTGTAATCAGTTACTTTGGTGGGGAGGCAAAGTAGTCCATTAATTTTGGGAGGAGAATAAAGGAATTATATGAGATTTTGGATATTATTTTCTTGTCTTCTGTCTGTCCTTAGTATGTCCAGAGAAGATGCTTTCTACCTGCCTGCTGGCATTATGTTTTCTGTTGTAGTCAGTATACTGTAGATTATGGAAAGTTTGTTGGTACTCCTGTACTCTCTAAATGGACAAAACCTGGTTTTGTTTTATTGCGTCATTTTATGCACATTGTTTTTTAATAAATGTTAACAAATTGCAGTGGATTTTTGATCACTGCCACTATGGCTACAGCAAAATGCAAAACTAAACCTCTTTTAGCCATAATGTAATTTGAGTCTTTCTGGTTAATGAGGAGGAGGAATGAATTTAGAAAACACTACTTAGAACTGGATGACTTAAGAGACTGATAAACAGATACTCTACTTTTACTACTTAATGAAATATAATCCTGATTGCTAGTCGCTGAAAGTACCTGCTCTGGGAAGGTTGTAAGGTGCCCCACGTAATATACAATGGCAGTCCAGTTCAGTTCTGCGTAGACATTAATTCATGTAACGTAATACGTTGTTTCAGATATGAGATACTGATGTTATTTAGAAAATAGCTTTTTCCATTTGTGAAAGCAGTGCCTCTATGAGTGGCATTCAGAACAACCAGCTCAGTGCACATTCCCAGCTCTGTGCACGTGAATGCAGTCTTGTCTGAGAGATGTAGTACAGATGAGTGCTCTGCATTTTGACTTGTCAGTCCTGTCCTAGGATAGACCATTTGTAACTATTTTGGCTCCATTACCTCATCTCCAGCAGCTGAGAAGTAATAGAGAAATGACACTTTTCAAAACGTTCTTTTATTTCTGTAAAAATTCAGCACCTTATCTACAGCTAAGGAGAGAGGACTGCTAGGACAGATAGCTGTTTAGAGGGAAGTGCTTCAACTGTTGTTTTAACGCTATTATAGTCTACATAAAGAAGATAACTGTATGAACAAACTTGCTTAACCAAATATATTTTGAAGTACATCATGACTGCATGTTACAGATGAACTCTGCTGGTGTTCTTGCTCTTAGTCAAGACAAGTATCTCTACTACAATTAGAGAAATAGGGTAAAGTACAGAACCATAGAATAACTTAGGTTGGAAGTGACCTCTGAGGTCATCTAGTACAATCCTGTGCTCAAAGCATGTCTAATTAGATCAGGTTGGCCCTAGTAACCTGCATTGGCCTCTGAATGCTGACAGTACAAGACATAGATGATTTTAAAAACGGAAAAGTATCTACACTGCAGTTGCTAAAGATTGCACATATAGATATATTCTTAATATTTGGTATGATTTTTTCTAAGGTCTGTCTTATTCCCAAAGCAATATATATTTAAATAAATAAATACAGAGATGCATAGGGGGGGTTTTGTTTGTTGAGGTGGTTTGGGGGGTTTTGGGTTTTTTTTGTTTGTTTGTTTTTTCAAATGTAGCCTTAAAAGAAGTCTGGTGATTAGTGATTATTTGTAGTTTGATTCTCCCGAATTACTCATGTCTTAGTGACAGTATTCACTTCCACAAAAAAAAGCTGCTCCTAATTGGGAGAGCACTTTTCTTTGTTAAACATTGTCTATGTCCTGCTTATTCATGTTAATTAATTGGTATTTTGCAGCTGGAAGGTGATTGCTGAACACTTTTTCTGTGCAGTATTAATAGGAGAGGAAAAATTCTGAAATAGTTTCAATGAATGTCGTAATTTACTGGTTTTAGTCTTGTAAGTGTGGTGATTTGGACAGAGAGCCTGTATTACAGTAATTGGATTAGAGTTTGTTTAGTTGAAATGGCAGCCATTGTATTAGGCAGTTTCAGGCTAATCTCAGCAATGAAGAAGTGCAGACAGTTTGAGCTGGTTTTTTTTTTTTTCACTCAACATTAAATCTTTATAGGCTGCTGTGTCAGGACAGTAAAGGAAGATTACTGGAGGCATTATGCAAGATTATTTTCTAGCTAAATTTTTATTCCACTTATTTTATCTTTTACTGGAATTCATATTTAGAATTGTTCATTCTCTACCACAAAATAGACTCAAAACATCTGACTGTACTGCCTATCTGTCTTAAAATCCCTACTGGGCTATTTTGTGGTAGTTTTGTGGATAGAAGTTTATCTCTGTGTAGTTTTCCTAGAATGATTTTTTTTAGTCCACAGTGGAATTAGCATGTCCAAATACAAATAACAAAAAGTTCTTTTACTCAGTATGAATAATAGAAGTTAGAGGAGTTCTTTTCAGAGAGGGCAAAAGTCTGTTTAGAGAATTTTGAGTTATTTTTTGTAGTCATCCCTTTAACTTTTTTCCCCTGTCTTCCTAAGTGTGGGTTTCTCCACCCCCCTCTAATCCCCTCAGGTTACAGAAACTAATTGGAATAACTCTGGAAGAAGTATCATTGTTTTGTACTATCCTTACCTATTTTACCTTCTGTCTGAATTTATTTGTAATTTCTAGGTTTTCCATCCTCTGTCAGAGAAACAAATTATTTACAATATTTATTAGAAAAATGCCAGTTGGTATTTCTTAGTTAAAGTCCCTGGTCTTAATTTGTTTCATGTTAAATGCATTTTGTTTTGGCCTCACAAAGAGAATAATATGTTGTGTTTCTAGTTGCCTTTGTTTTTTGTCTTTATTCAGTTGCACCCTGGTATATTTTGGTCTTGACATCCATAATGACCTTTTCCATAGAAGTAAAAATAATCTAGAAGACATAGCCCAGGAAAGAAATTGGATCAATGAAACTCTTGGGTTTAGGATTGCTTCTTTTTGTGAATTCCTGCAATTAAAAATGGAAGAAAGCAAAAGCCACTTCCAGGGTAAATAATGGCTGAGATCACCTTCTCTGAGAAGACTTGAAACAATGCATTGGAGCAGACTGCTTTGCAAGAATGTACTAATGCCAGGAAAGCAAAAGAAATTGACCTGTCGCACAGTAGAATTGTCCTTGGGTCACCTGGGTAGTAAAAGCTATTATACAAAGCTGCTTAGAAAAGAAAAGTTCAAAGTTCTGTGACGAAGAATACCTGCTAATTGACTAAGGTTGGATTAGTAACTTGTCTTTTGTTTTTCATAGGATAAATCTCCACTTTATCTTCACTAAAATGTACTCTGTTTAAATCTGTTCGTAGTCAGTTGGTTTGGGTCATAAATTACCAGGGATTACATTCCTTTGAATGGAATAGTTTTCAGAATAGGAACAAAGGGAATAGTTTTCAGAATAGGAACTAAAAAGGCACGATGAGGCAATATATGAGTAGCATTTCATATTCAGAATGTTCTAGAAATATTTGAGACCCATAAAGTTCAGGATCATCTAAAGAGAGGGATTTTCAGTTTACATTCTCTTTTCATCCCTTCCTAGTCACAGTCCTCTTAATTAGTCCTACTCAGCTTGTGATCATCTGTGGGTCAATAGTGACCTACATGAAACTGGCCAAGCTAGTTTCTACCACTGGCTAATACACCTTCAAGAATGTATCCAGAATTTTATAGTTACATTTTTGTAGCAGTTTACACTGAGATCTTAAAAAAGTCAATAATTTACTTCAGTGAGAATTCTGTTCTGTAATTGCTCAGTCTTGGGTCTTGCCCTTTTATACCCTCCATTGCAACTGGAGTAGTTTAGTACTGGATGTCTGTCCTTGTAAAATGTTTTATTGTCACCTAGGAAAGTTTTCTAAAGAAACACAGTGTCCTGGTTTAAACCTGACCAGCAGCCAAACACCACTGAGCTGCTTGCTCACCCTTGCCCACCCTGGGGAATGGGGGATAGAATTGGAGTGGTAGAGGTAATTAGTCTCATATGTTGAGATAAAGGCAATTTACCAATTGAAATAAAATGAAAATGAAAATAACAACAACAACAACAGCAACAATAATAATAATAATAATTATAATAGAAAATACAAATGAGTAATGCACAATGTGATTGCTCACCACCTGTTGACCAATGCCCCGGCCCATGCCCGGCTAGCAATCCCAGAGAAGCAAGAATCCTGAAACCACAATCCTGGAAACAACTGAGAGCTTCCCAATCAACCCTCATCTATATACTGAGCATGATGTTATATGATATGGAATATTCCATTGGCCAGTTCGGGTTTGTTGCTCAGGCTATGCTTCCTCCCAGCTTCTTGTGTACCTGCACACTAGCAGGACATGGGAAGTTGAAAAGTCCTTGATTTCTTAAGCAACTGCTAAAAACATCAGTGCATTATCAACATTCTTCTCATACCAGATCCCATACTGAATCCCAAACACAGCACTGTTCTAGATACCAAGAAGAAAAAATTAGCTCTATCCCAGCTGAAACCAGGACACATAAAAATCACTTTTCACTTCTTTCATATATGAGTTCTTTTGTGAATCCTGTGATAATGTTGGACATCCAGTGCCCAAGTATATGATTTCTGAACAATGCTTAACTGCATACAAAACCAAGTTACTCTGTGTTCCACAAACTGATTACTCCCTTTTTTGTATTGTCTTTATAGTATTTCCTCTGAAGAATGTATACAGATGAAAGTGGGTTTAATTTTCTGAATACTTAAGTGTTATAATTAAAGGTACTTCCTGCAGAGTTGATTGAGATAGTTACCTGTAAAGTGTCTTTGAGATGTCTTTTCAGTATATTTTAACTATCAATCACATTGTCAGTGAAGCAAATACTAAATAAAGAATTGAAACATCTTGCCAGAAGAGAATAGCTGTTTGTAGCAAGAAAATGCTGTGGGGCATAGGTGGTGGGATACATGCAAACTAACCTAAAGTCGGAGTGTAATAGAAACCTATTTCTGTAAAGTATTGAGAGAACTGATGAATAGCTTTTTTGGCATTATCCTGTCATGTGTTGTTGCTAACAGTGTGTGTATAGATTAATTTTTTAAAGTATTTCCTTTTAAACTGAACCCCTGTGGTTCAGACAGATGAGCTGTATAAAACCTAATTACTTCTGTTGACCAAAGAACTAAGCTTACAGAATGGACAACTTAATAATGGAAGGAACCGCATTTTGAAACAAGGTTGATTAGGTCTCAGAAACAGAACATAGCTGCTTGGAGGGCAAGATGAGTGCCCATAAAATGTTGACTACTTGTCATGTTATTGATTCTGACAGCAAAAGAATAGCATTAAGTCTTACAGTGTTGGAGTCTAATGTGTGAGCTCATAGGATTTAAGTCTCTTTAACTGATTTTTAGCGGGGTTTGGATGAACCCCTTAGCACAGAAGACAGATCCATTTAACTTTTCATACAGCCATCTCTCTGTATTTATCTTAAATAAATCCCATGGCAAAAATACTTAGTCTTAACAGCCAAAAACTATCCAGACGCAAGATTGAAGGAGATGTTTTAGAAAGATTATTTATGGTGCTAACAGATATTGCACACCTAAACTGATGGAGCACTATATAGTTTTTGATAATTTTTTTAAAACTATTTCAGTTTTTTAATTTTAGATTGGTATTCAGAAAGGATGAGAAATTTTTAAAAAATCTCATATCTGGCTGAATTACCATTAAAAAATTTAAGATTTTTTTTTCAGTAATCGCCTTCCTTTGTGAATTCATATTTTCTCACTCTAGCCTAAGCTTCAGTCTACAAGTTCTTTACTTTTTACTATGACTATCTATTGGGTTTGAGCATATCCCAGGATTTAAACATTCATTTATCACCTTTTTATAAACAAGGGGTTGTTTATATAATTCAAAAGCATTACAAGGAAAAACTATCTAAGAAGTCAGACTACTTGTCCTTGTCTTTTGCATGTTGGAGAAGTGCCTGTATTTCATGCACTATATAAAGAACTTCAAGAGTTGTTAGATCTAAGTAAATATGTAAATTTATGGAATATTTCTGGACTTCTATAGCAATACTTCTAATCTCTGTGAAGTCTTCTGAATTTGAACAAACCATGAAAAATTGTAGGATAGTATGGCCATATATTTGTTATCTGTACTGTGAAAATAAATAACAATGTGGTTTCCTCTGCTTTTATTCCTTCCAGAGGACTTTGTCTAGACCAAGGACATAAAATACAAACAATATGTAAAATTTGTGTGTGTATATATGCATATGTATCCAAATATGTATATAAGTATAATATGAATTTTAAAAGTATATTTATATTAAAATCATATATTAAGTACTAATTATGTATTCCACAGCAGAAACATTTTAATACCCGAGAGCTTTCAAACATAATTTTGATTTCTGTTTCAGTTTGTACTTATTTTTAAGGTGGACTTTTTAAATTTTGAGGGTCATATGTACTATATGAATTTTAGCTTCTACATTCATATTTTAAGTTAGTTTTGTATACCCTGTACAAAAAATAATACTCTTATTTAGGTTAACTGTATTGTGGAGTTACATACTGAATTCAAAATTTATAGAATCGATGATGGGATTGTAAGAACTGCAGAGCTCCACTAGGTCTGAGTGGCAGATTTCTTTTAAAATAAATACAAAACAAAACACAGTTGACGGTTCCAAATTTTAATTACATCTGCTGATACAAAACTGTGTTCCTTTGAAATAAGCCTAACAGAATTCAGTGTAAAATGGAGACTGATTTAACGGATTTAATGGAGACTGGCTAACAAGTTAAGTGAATTTTGAAAAAGCCTATTATGTACACTTCATTTTTGCTAAAGTACTTTTAACTCAAAATTACACTTTTCAAGTTCAAAAGGGTACTTACTTATTCCCTCAATAGCTCACCTTTTATATAAATTTGAACATTTTGCATATTTTTCTACTAACACCTTGATTCTCAAACCTGATCTATTGTATGTAGTTCATCAAGATACTCTGTTTAATTCAAGCATTTTCCATGGCATGTTTATGCTCAGTTTGTTAAGGCTTTGTTCCTTTAATTGCTCTAATTCATTAGATCATAAGTCTTTGTTCTTGTTCTTCCTCATCACTTTTACCTTTTCTTGGTTTCCATGGAAGCAGAAGGAGAATGAGAGTGTTTGTTTTCAAATTCTAGTCAACATCAGAAGTCTTGCATGTATGAAAATGACATTCTATATATGATTATGTTCTTAAGCCAGCAAAGATCCTAATTAGGTAAAATTGATCTAGCAAAGAAAAAAAACCCTTTCCTTGGTACTCCTTATTTTTTTAAAGAAAAAAAAAAAACACCAAAAATTATGTTACTTTTCCAAAATAATACTATTTTGTACCTGTAGGCTTTCTTTTCATTAGAAGACTTTGTAATGAATTTACAAATTTCCCATAATCACAGATGAACAGCAAAGTAACTTCTTTTTTAAAGCTGGGATTTCAAGGAAGTGCAGGTGCCCTTCACTATATATATTCTATTCAAATTAATAGATACCTTAATATTTTTTTTTTAATACTGTCTGCATTCTCAGAAACAGATGGAAAATGTACTGTTTAATATTTTGAGTGCCATCATTGTAAATATTTTAATATTTCATTTTAGCCAGAAAGTGAAATTTCTACCACTGTAGAAGATTACAGTTCTGAGGTAAGACTGAAGTATATGCTTTTCCTAACTTTTCTTTTAACTTTTTCTTTTACATGTTTACTGCAATGCTATGCATTGTTTTTCAAAAAGAGAAGGAAAGAAAGAGCAGATGTGATATTATAGACAAAGCTGCTGCATGTCATTACTGGTATGATTAATGTACCATTAAAGCAAGCATTGTCAACTACATAATGGGATGGCTACTATAATAAGTAAAGCAGTAGATATGTGAACTGTTGTAACAGTCTCAGCATTATGGTTGTATTAATGCTTCAGGTTGGCTTTGGAGTTGTGGCTGTGCATAATTTCTACTAATTTTCTGTGGGAAACTATTTAACAAGTTGATTATGTTTTAATGAGTTCCAAAGCAGCTGTTCCTCAGCAACTGGCTAGGCATCAGTCTGCTGGTGGGAGGTGGTGAGTGATTGCCTTTGCATCACTTGTTGTTTGGGGGTTTTGTTTTCCCTCTCCCTCTGTGATGGGGGGGCTTAGCTACTGGACAGAGTCAACTCACCACACATTGGCATAGGTGACTACACCTTAGAGTAACTATTTGTTTCATACTAGTGTTATAGCTGCTGACTGTGACGCCTAAGGGAATGTACATACCAGACAATGTGTCACTGACCTGTCACACCACATGGTGCAAAAGTAAAATTGTTACTGCAGCAGACTGTCTAGATGTGCCCTGAAAACTGGAAGGACTTCTTTCCCAGCTTAAATGCTCTGTCTTCAATTCTTCCTTCTCTCAGCCTGTTCTCTTGACTAACTCTGTGTCTGTTTTCTGTCCCTCAGTTTTTTGTAAATTCTTCCCTTCTCTGTAATAACTCCTGTCAATCTTTTCACCTTCCCTTGCCCATCACCTTTTTCCCATTGCTTGGTTTCTTAGCTCAGCCTTATTGGCTTTTCAGCCTGTTTCTATTCTTCCTTTTCCAGTCATTCCAAAGCCCTTTTTTTTTTTTCGCTGCCTTTCTAACTTCATCCAAACATTGTTTTTCCTTCTTTTTTCTTTCAATATTTTTTTCTCCCTCTCCCTTGGAAACCTCTTCTCCTTTAGTCCTTGTTATGTTGGGGTCCTTCTGATGCTCAGCTCAACTTGTCCTAGATGAGAGCAGTAGATTTTTCTTTCCAACCTGTCTCATCAAATCCCAGTTATAGTTTCCTCCATAGATTTGGTCTCAGCCTTTTTAGTTGAATTATTTTCCTGTCCCTCTCTTCCCCAGTTTGACCCTTTCTTTTCCACTTCCTCCTTGTTCTTGTTTATAAGCACCCTCATTTTCTTCTGGTGTGTTGGGAGAAGGCACTTGGGAATGCCTTCCCTCAATATTCATTATTGCCTACTTTCAAATACAAGATACTGAACCATAAGGATCCCTAGTCTGGACAATTGTAATCGTTCCTATGGCATGTTTTTTTGTGATGCAAATTTAAAAAAAAGATATCTCGGACTATCACTTTTGGAATCAAAGATTCCAGTCCAGCTGCTGAGGAGTGCTGTAAATGGAAGAAAGAAAAAAGATTTTTGTGGGAGGATAGGTGTAAGAGATTGAAGCAAACTCTACCTGGGAAAAAGATTCTGTTTAAAGATTTAGTACTTCTCATGATAAAATGTGGTTTATTTTGTCCAAGGAACTGAAGTAGCAAAGAACAAAAAGAATTTGAGTTTGCTTTATGTATGGTAAGATAATAGGGCAGTATGTGCACACAGTTTGCCATTGAGAGTGTAGCAAAACACTTTTGAACAACTGTTATGACCTTATTGCACTTTTATAGAACATGCATCACCATGGTATGTGATTACTATTAAATGGAATATGCAGTATGTGAAGAATCTACCCTTCAATAGCGTTGATGGTCAGGTATTTTTACAAGTGACAGGTATTAAATATGTAGGACTAAGAAATTTTGATCACTTCTGAGGTTGTAGAAAGCAGTGTTGGAGACATTGCAATGGCTTAAGAAAACATGTCTTTGCACAAGAAGACAATACAGAAAAGATCTGGCATAATGCCTCATGATAGTTATGGATAGGTTCTGATTTTTAGTGCTTTGTTGTTAGCATCAGCTGAATTCAAAGCTCTCATTTTAAAATGTATTTTCACATCTAAACACTTAATTTTACCCTGCTTTATTCTTGAAAAATTTCTGTAGGTGCCTACAGAGTAATTTAGGGAGCAATTTTTCAGATACTAAAGACTATAGAAATTACAGCCAGACTGCCTTCTGGATGTGCCTTTTAAAAAATGGCAGATTTCTTCAAAAATGCAGTGACTGATGCATTTCTAGACACTTCTTATTCTCATTCCTGCAAAAACAGTTTTTACCTCCCTGAAAGTTATTTTCTAAGACATAAGTAGGCAATGCAAAACTTGTGAATAGTAACATAATACTGGATCTGGTGAAGAACAAACTCAAGTGATGAGAGTTGTGATCTTAATAAGCTCTTTTTAGTTCCAGTTCATTACAATTGGTTGGTATCTGGAATGAGGAAACAACATGTTTAGGATATGCATATCTCTTAGGAACGGCATTTTCAATATGTTTCATGTCAGCTGTCATGTTTCTTTTATTATTACTTACATTTATGGCCACCTTGTAAATAAAGTGATCTGGAGCCTTTTCAGTTGAAGATGAAAATATGTTAAATTTTGTCTGTAACAGCATAATTATGAATTTGTATGAAATTTTGAGCTTACCTTTTTTTTTCAGATACATGACCTCCTTTTCGGAATGCTAAGAAACTACACATTTGTAGAAACATAGGCCTGTTGATCCATCTTTTCCCTCATTATTTAGAACATCTATATTCTTTTTTAGTGTTTTTTGTCAGAAATTATGTTGAAATCAAGGCTGTCATGCTTCAAAGTGAAATAGTTCATAAATAATCTGTTTTGTTGTAGTTGGTAAAATATTCAGGTGTTTTAATTATCAGACACAGAGTTATAAGCTAATACAGTTGTCTAAGCAAAGTTGAAGGAACCAGTGAATGTTTATATAAGAATTCTTGTCTTGAAGGAGTTTTACTGTAAATACATTCTCTTGTTTAGTTTTGTTCTGATACCTCTAAATACCTACAGTATCAAAGGTAGAAGCCAAACTGAAGACTGATAAATCCTTCATATGACCAGCTTGCCTTTTGTAAAAAATTATTCAGTTTAAGCAAGAATGAGACCTACGTGCGTAGGTCTTAAATTAGTTTATAATGGTGATCAGCTATTTACGGTTATCGTCTAAACTCAGAACTAAGGGACGTTAGTCCTTTTCCAACTGTTAGAATATAAAAATTTTTGTATAACTATGTAGGGTAAAGTTGCCCCATATATTTTCCATATGCCTCAATTTTACGCTATAGTTGAAAGATTGTTCTACCTTATTTTTTTTTTCTCTTATTGATTCTGTTCCCAGTTTGCAAAATCTACCTCTACAAAGATGGTTAAAATAAAGTCTACAAAGTTGGTGGGTTTTTTGGAAGTGTTAATGAAAATTCTATGCCTCAACCTTAACCACTATGTAAAGAAATCTTCTGTTGCATGCTATATATATATATATATATAAAATATATTAAGCCATGGAATTTTGAAAAAAGCATCAATTTTTATCCTTCAGAACTTATTAGCCTTAGTTATATGATTTTAATTATTTTCATCATAAACTGAAAATAATTCTTGTTTATGGAGTGTAAAAAGAACCCCAACTGAAATTAATTTTCCCAAGTTGCCTAGATTGCCAACTTTAGCTAAGTTTCATATACTCAGTTGTGACATAACTAATCGTGGAGAGGCTAAGAAAATTGACATGCAGTGTTGGAGGTCTAAGTATTAATTTTTGTGAAGGAATCAGATGTCCAAAATCTAAAAGAAAAGGGGGAAAAAATGGAAACATGAGCTAAAAATGTTAATCCATTCCAGATACTTCTGTATGTTTCTACTACCAAATCAAAGCACTTTTAAAATCAGAAGTCTTCTTGTCAGTCTGTAATAGCTTATATTATTTTCACACATTAAGGTATTTTCTACATTTTTCAGTGATTGAACAGTATGTATTGATTTATGCTGAGCATGAATTTTCTGTTTATAAAGGGAAATCTCTGTAGTACTGGCAATAATGTTTTAAATAGTTTCTCATTATGTATTATTGCTATTCTGAGGTACAATTTCAGGTCTTCGAAGGTCTAAGGAACATTAGAGGGGGTACAGTGATTTCATAAATTTAAACCTGACCTCTAGTGGCAATTGTCATGAATTGCTGCCTTAATTCAGTGGTGCAAGTCGATTTTCTTTGTTTCTCTGGAAGATTCCTTTCATTTCTCTTAAGCTTATATATTTACTGATGCAATGTAAATAATACCTTTAATTTTAGTCGGTAGAATATTATATTTTACTTTATATTGGTAAATACTATTTCTGTGAATTATTTTAAAAATAGAAGCAAGGAAGAAAAATCAGACAGAATGTCCTTTGAGGGACTTCCATAAGCTTCATTTGTTTCATGTCTTTTGTTCACCAGAACAGTTGCTCTTGGGTAGCTCATATGTTGTAAATTTTTTTTTTCTTAATTTATGGTTATTTGTTTATGCAGTTGCATCCAGAGCTTTTGTTACTCCTTGCTTCCATTATCTTTATATGCTATGTTATTCTGATGTTACTTTAAATGTGAAATTGTTTGCTGGTGTGTGTAACTAAGCACATCATAAGGCATTGAGGCATAAGCACATTTCAGCATTAAAGGTGAACTGCAAAGTTTTAAAAGAAGAAATTGTAAGAATCTACATCAATAGTATCTATGGGTTTGCAGAAGATCTTACACACGTGAAGTGCTGGGGCCATCAGACAAAACGCAGAAGTCCAATAGTGCTTGTGTAGACATCTGTTAACACTGAAGTTGTAATCTAGACTATAGTATTCACATATTGCAGACCAGTGAAAATTAGTTTTAAATTAAGATATTTTGAAGCTAATAAGTCAGCCCCGCTGCCTGTCTGCTCCGACACAGAATTTCTTGTCATGCTGCAAGTTGCCAGGCTGCTCGTGAGGCTCCCGGCCTCAGCGCAGCACCCTGCTCCCGTGCTCTGGGAGCTTGGCATGGATTACAGTGCCATTTGTTGTCTTGTCATGTTTCAACTTGTATTTTACCAGAAGGCATAAGGTATTTGAAAGTAGAAAGTATGAGATGAGAAACAGCATGGACTGCTGTGTTGTTGTGGTTCACTTCTGTGATGTCTAAGAGCTAGGCTCCTGTGAAATGAGTCGGGATTTCCGAAGTTCCAGACAGTTGTTTTGAATGGGTATAGCAAAATCCCTTTTAGAAGTAAAAGGTCTTTTGTAGAAATTTCAGCTGCTAAGGAGTCTGGAACGTCTAATGAGATAAAGCTTTTATGTTTTTCCTAATAGTCCTTGTTATAAAGCATCTAAGAGTCTTTGATTGTTGAACACAGAAATGATTCACAGGAAGGGCAGCATGTCCACTGTGGTAGATGACAAGAATCATACACTGCATCTTTATCAATTAAGCCTAAATAAAATGGGAGTTAAAAAAAGGAAAAGTATTTCATAATAGAGTTTCTATTAAACTACCAGTGTTACTAATCTGGGACATGTGCCAAAATCTGAATAAAGACTTTGGTGCCAGGCGCTGTGTAGACATTTGTATGTCTGAAAGTAGAGTGAGCATCTGGCAATACACAAACGATGTGCAGTGCTGTCTATGAGTTGCCTTGACTGCTGTTTGCTGCAATTTTCTTTATTCTTTCTAAAATAAGGTAGTAATCTCTCTGTGGGGTCATCCTTTTTACTGAGGAAGTTAAGAATTGAAAGGGCACTGTGCCAGCTCTGCAAATTCTTGTCTAATGAAGGTTTATTCATTCTCTTAATACAAACTATTAAGTTTTACTTAAGTTAATACAAACTATTAAGTAATACAAACTATTACTATATTGATCCCATTTATAACCATGTACTTTCATGTCAGGTAACTTATTGATTTGCTCAGGCATGATAGTACTTTGTAAATAAACCCTGATCTAGACTATGTCAGATATCTGACCAGTATAGCTTCTATTTTTGATATAAACAGTATTTGGGTCCACGTCTAGTGCAATTATTTTTGTTTCATACTCTGATGAGTACAGCTCTGAGGGGAAACAGAGCTGTTCTTGCTTTCTCATTTTAAAACATTGGTCTGCTGTTTTAAAAGCTGGCCTGTTTTGTGGTTACTCACAAGTATACAGCACATTCTTTTTTTTTTTTTTTTTTTAACCTATAACTCCTACTTTGGCTTGTGCTTGCCTTTTGGAGATCCGTTGTTATTTGCATGGTCTGTAGAACAAAAACTCTCGTAGAAGCTGAAAGGGGTTGCAGTGTTAAGACATTTGAAAAAATTCTTTTTCACTCACCTATGTTAAATGTATAATTTCTGCTCTTTTCAATTTTAAGAAATTCCCTCAAATCGAGGATAAGAGTCTATGATACTGCCTTTCATGCACTATCCAAAGATTGGTGACTTTCAAGAAATAGTAGATCTTGAGGTGTATAAATATCTTTTGGAAAGCATAACTGTGTTTAGTAACATACAGAAATATTAAACATATAATTTAAAATGCAGTACTATTGTATATTTAAAGTATAAAGCTTTGCATTGACCTTTAAATCTGAATTACTTTGTTTTCTCTAGATGTTTAAATTTGTAATACGGATTTTGTCTTTAGACAGTAGTATCTATTTTTGCAATTTTGGGTGTGTTACCTGTTACCTATGCTTACTTTAATGTAGTTTAAGATATATATATATATAGTTATTTTGTATTTCAAATGAAATAAATTTTGAAGCATAAAATTTCCCATGGGTCTGCAGGAATCACAACATAAGGTGAAATGAATGGAAAATACAAATCAAGCTTTATTTCAAATAATAATGTATTTAGAAATTGTCTTTATACAGGTAAATGGTTGCAGTTTTGTGACAAGAACAGCTATACCTGCAGACTCAAACAGGGTACAGTATTGCAAATTGAATCATAATACTAATGGTGAATACTAAAAACCTCAATTTGTTTTGAACAAAAACTATGTTGCTGCCTAATACTTTGTTTTGCATGCTGTGCTCTGCATCTTCATTGTTTGTTATATATTAATATAGTATACCGCTAAACTTGAAATGCAAAACAATTTAGTACTTCTATTAAGACTATCAAGCAGAATTTGCAGAAATGTCAGTGCTTTTGAGGTGTGAATTATGCTAACAAAGGAAGTTACCATGACAATAACATCTTCAATGCTGTATTGTGTGTTAATGTACTAAGGTGACATTTGATACAGAATTTGGTATTTGAGTTTACTTACTGTGATAAAGCATAAAAAAATGGCATGTTAAGGAACTTGGATTGATTTAGGAAGAAGAATTTGGAGTTGGAGAGATTTGTTCTGAGCATGGAATGCAGCACTCTCACATGCAGCTAGAGGTGATGGAGAATGAATTGGCTGGGAAACAGCAAGAGATTGAAGAGCTAAACAGAGAGCTAGAAGAAATGAGGGCAGCATATGGTACAGAAGGATTGCAACAGGTATAATTACCTTATGTTGCTTTCTACTTGCTACTTAGTTACATGCAAAAATGCAGAGTATCACCTGAAAGAGTTCACCCTTAACGACAGCTGTTCAGAATGCAATGTGTGTTATAGAATGACACATAATTTCTTTCAATTACATACCATGCGCTCTATTTCTTTGAATGGCATTTCCATTGTGTGTACTTTTCTCTGTATTTTGTGACAAAAATTCCAGTCGTCTTCACAGTGACTTTCTTCAAATTAGGAATGGAAAGACAATTTTCTTCAAGAAAAGCCCCAATTCTTCTCTAGTTTTACAAAGACTGCATTTTTGAATACCTTCCTGGTTCTCCAAGATCAAAAAACCTCGGGTTTTACTTCCTAAGGAATGATATAACTGAGTTGATTGTTGAACTGGAAAGGTATTCATATGTTATGACTTCATAGTCTGAAATACAGGGCAACTGTGTCAGAATGTTCTAATAAACATCTAATAATTTGGGATTACAGGGAAGTATTTCTTACTGCAGAAATACTCTTGGAATTTAAACTTAGGTTTTAAAGTAAAGAGTATTAAATACTTACTCTTCTGGTTTAACCAAGTGGTGCAATGCACTGAAATCAGTGCCTTGTCACCCTTCATGTCTGCCTTATCTCTCTTTTAATTTAGATTCAGTTCACATAATTGTGTTTTTCTATTTTTTGTAAAGTGCTGCAGAATACCAAAATTGTTCTAATCTTCAGTCATTTTCACCTTCATTATTATTGCAAATTGTAATTTTTTTCTGCTTTCATTTGTATTTTATCCATGAAAATGGATGTCTTGTTTTCCACCATAATAGAGTCATCTTTAAGCGGTTGCCCTGGAGGATGTGGTTTATCATTTGTCTGTTGGTGAATCTCTGGTGTTGCATTTTAAGTCAAACTTAGCTTCTAATTACTGTGTCTTGGATCTGTTGGACTAAACATAATAGTCATAATTATAGCATAATAAAGAACATAAGCATAATTTTAATTTCTCACAATTGTGACTACTGTTACTTTTTCCTGGAAAAGGTGAAAGTGAAGATGTTTGAATTTTTTAAATGGCCATGATTACTATTTTAAAAATAAATTTAAAATATATTAAAACAAGCTGTGGTACAGTAATATTGTAATAGTTGCAGCATATTTTTATGTGAAAGTGGTACAACTGAGAAATGGGTATGGTTTATTTTTCAGAAGAAACAAAAGAATTGTGAAAGCAGAGTGCAAAAGATATGTTGTGTGCTTTAGTTCTGCCTATTTGTTAAAGTTTAAAATTATAGCAACGTGTGGATCAGAACAGGTAAATTTATTCAATTTCATTGAACAGATGCAAAAGGAAAGGTATGACATACTTAAGTGTCTGATCTGTTCCAAATTTTCTCTATTGTAACAAACATCTAGTATTTCTACTAGATCCATGCTTTTAAAGTAGGAGTTCATTGCAGTGTTCTGAAAAGAACTTACAAATAATTTCCTCAAATTCTTTGCATAGTTTGGCTTGTTTAAGGGACTTCTGTTTTTTATGTCCTACCGAACTATGTCCCTGTCTTCTAAATCAGTAAGCTTTATCTGGAAGCGTTATAATTTTACTTCAAAACTCAGCATATAGCCTGAAGAAAGCTTCTTTTTTGGGAGCATTGTAAACAAAAGAGTTACAGGTGACTGATGGTTTAAGAAATATTCAGTACATAGAGAAAGATGAAGCTTCTGCTAGCCTGGAATGAATTCCAATTGACAAAATTACTTTAAAGTGAATAACACATCTATTTATATAATTGCACATGAAAAGAGTCCCAGTTAATATTGTAGACTTTCTGGATGCCTGAGTGTAATCCTACAAAAAAGTAAAACACTACAAATTACAGAAGATTCATCTATTAAATACACTGTATCAGTTTTGCAGCTTGAGCTGATTTTCCCATGTAGTTATGAATAGTTTCTCTGGGTTCACAATGTAAGATACTGTATGGTATCTATTATCTGCTTTTAGTACAATGAATGCAATTTATTGTGCTTTTAGTGAGAGATGATATAACTTGTGGGAAAAGTGTGTGGACATGAGTAGTTGTCCAAAATTGCTGAAACACTGTAAGTAGATACTCTGGCTTCCTTTATGGTAGTTAGTTTATGTGGCCCCACTTGTTAGTTTAAAAGCAAGTTACATAGTTACCTAATCAGCCTTTTGTTATTTGATAAGTATATTTTACAGAGAGGTCATATATTGTTAAATGAGAGAAAAAAGTCTGTTTCTGAAATATTTATAAATAGAGTTTGAAAACATAAATGCTCCGGTAGGTTTGTAAGACATCTTTTAGATGGAAAGGTTAGGGATGATGTATTCCTACTTAACTAGAATAAGCTAGTTGTTTTTTTATGTGTGCCTTTGATGTGCATTAATAGTTTAAATTTTATCTTTCGTAGCTACAAGAATTTGAAGCTGCTATCAAAAAAAGAGATGACATTATCACTCAGCTCACTACTAACCTACAGCAGGCACGGAAAGAAAAGGATGAAACTATGAGGGAGTTCTTAGAGTTAACTGAACAAAGTCAAAAACTGCAAATTCAGTTTCAGCATGTAAGTTACAGTGCTACCAATATTTATTTAGGTTTGAATACTGGTGTCACTTTGGAGGGTCCAGAACATAATTGGCTGCTTCCTACAGAAACACAGAAATTTTTTTGTGCATTTTAAAAGAATTGGTCTCTTAGTATAGATCAGCAGTCACTTTACCAGTCCTACATTATAGTACCTGGTTTATTGTACTAAGTCACTATACAATAATAAAGATTAGTCTGTTTTCTTCTGTTGTATGTGGTGATAGCTTCTGATAATCACTGGATGATGGCAGTTATTTTAGGGAAAATTACTAGTATAATTAGTTCTCAGAGCTTTGGGCTGAGATCCAACCTGTTCCCCTTGAAATCAGAACAGCCAGCCATCAGTTTTTTCATGTTTATGTCCTTCCTATATTTTGGGGTAAAGCCTACCTCTTATTAAAGATCTGATTTTTGGGACAGTAATTACAGCTAGTTCATTTTGCTACTTAGAAATGTTTCTGAGACACTGCTGAGCTAGCTCACCATAAAACAGTTTAATATTAAATACTTTCTATTGGTTGGCTATCCCACAAGAATAAGGATATTTCAGTTCCTCCTAAAAGAACTTACAAAATTTTGTGATAGTCTTTGGTCTTCTGATGTAGAAGAAGAAAGTGGAGATCACTCTTTCTGTAGTGCAAGCTGTTTCTGAAAAACTTGATAAATCTTAGGTTAAATTTTTTTAACATTCAAGTTGCAGGCAAGTGAAGCCCTAAGGAACACCAGCCATAGCTGCACAGCTGCTGATTTATTGCAAGCCAAGCAACAGATACTTTCACATCAGCAGCAGCTAGAAGAACAAGAATGTCTGCTGAAGAATTATCAAAAAAAGAACAAAGAATTTGAAGTGCAGATTACATGTCTTCAAGACAAAATTACAACATATGAAATGGTATGTTCCTCACTAGAAGGATCTCTTTTCCTAATCTCTTTTTTTCTTTTAATGATTTTGTAGTTCCTTTGAAATTTAAGGGTCAAAGCACAGATTATGAGTGTATTGCATAGAATGCATACAAAGATTTCAAGTTTTTAACACTGCTTCTGTTAAGTAACACACAATTTCTGTATAATTTTAAACTGAAATTTTTATGTAGTATTATGTATCATGTTTTTAAAAATTGCAGAAATATTTACAGCAAATGATGACACTATGCTGTCTATTAGAGTGCCTTCATTAAATTGCATAATTTTGTTAAGAAAAAAACAGTTTAAAGTAACCTGCTTGAACAGTCTTTTCTGCTTAAGGAAAGAATGAATTATTTTCTTCATGTACATTTTTTTATTATCCTTCATGGAAAACGTCTTTAAAAGTGACAAGACACAAAGCTTTCAGTGGATTGCGCCATTTTATTTTTTTTTAATATCAGAGCACAACTGGAAAAAAATGAAGTGATTTTATTCTTTCTTTTTTTTTTTTTTTTTTTTTTTTTTTTTTTTTTTAAGGGGTAGGGGGTAATGTGGGGGGCAAGACAAGGATTGTCACTTACTCCAAAGGTACAGAAAACATCCAAATAAGGTCAACAAACAATTTATATTTATTTTTTTATAAATGATCCCTAGCCTTCTAAAGAAAGGCATTGCATTTACGTAGCTAAATCTATAAATTTTCTTATATATTCTGATAATTAACTAAAAATAAGAACATGGTTTTGGTAATTTTTTAAAGGAAAAACACAAAAACGAGGGAGAAGATTTGAGTAAACTACAAGAAAAAGAAGCATTAGTTGAAAAGCTGGAAACAAAACTTGGAGAAGAAGAAAAAAATTCATTTCAACTTAAGGAAAAATTATCAGATGTCAGTAAACTACTTGAAGAATCGAAAGAACAGATTTCTCTAAAGAACCAGGAGATAAGTAATATGAGAGTTGAACTTACCACCTACAAACAGAAAGAAAGACAATGTTCTGATGAAATAAAACAATTAATGGGAACTGTGGAAGAATTGCAGAAACGATGTTATAAAGACAGCCAGTCTGAAGCTGACATTGTGCAAAGAATGGAATTAGAAACACAAAGGAGACTGGCACAACTTCAGGCTGAATTAGATGAAATGCATGGCCAGCAGATTGTACAAATGAAGCAAGAATTAATGAAGCAACATGCAATGGAAATAGAACAGCGTCTTTTACAACAAAAAGTAGAATTGGAGAAAACTTCAAGTCTGTCTTTGAATGAGAATGTTAATAAAGATCAAATGCATTTAATGAATATTAAAATTAATGAATTGAATGTGAAACTGCAAGATGCAGATAATGAAAGGGAAAAAATAAAGCAAGAATTGTCACAACAAGTGGAGGTAATTTCAGCAGAGAAGTCTCTTCAACAAACTAAAATTGAAGATCTTTTCCAAGAACTGAATTTTTCAAGAGAGCAGGTTCAAAGAGCCAAACAAACTATAGTGGATTTGGAATGTAGATTAAATGAAGCTGAAAAGTACCATTTTGTGATTGAAGATTTAGAAACTCAGCTGGCTTCTGCCTCTGAATTAAGGAAGGAATTGGAATTAAAACATGAGGCAGAAGTCACAAATTACAAAATAAAACTTGAAATGCTAGAAAGGGAGAAGGATGCAGTTTTGGACAGGATGGCAGAATCTCAAGAAGCAGAATTAGAGAGACTGAGAACAAAGCTTCTGTTTAGTCATGAAGAGGAACTTTCCAGACTTAAAGAAGATTTACAAAAAGAGCACATGGTCAACATGGAAAGCCTTAAAGATAACTTGAATATGCACCATAAACAGCAGTTAGATGAGGTACAAAATGAAATGAGTCAAAAGATAGAAGCCATGCAATGTGAAAAGGACAACTTAATCACAAAGCAAAATCAGTTGATAGTAGAGATTTCACGCTTAAAAGATTTACAGCAGTCTGTTGTAAATTCTAAATCTGAAGAAATGACACTTCAAATCCTTGAGCTGCAGAAGGAAGTTGAAGTGCTTAGGCAAGAGGAAAAAGAGAAAGGTACCCTTGAACAAGAAATTCAAGAGCTTCAGCTTAAAACTGAGTTGATGCAAGAACAAATGAGGGAAAGAGAAGATAGCCTTCAAAAAAAATGTTCAGAACTTGAAACACAAAATAACCTTCTTAAGGGGGAAAACAAAACTCTTGAAGAGAAGTTAAAGACTGTGTTGGTAAGCTCTGAAGAAAATGTAATTTTTAACAACAGTGTTAGCTCTAAGTCAGAAGTTTTTGACTTGCAAAAAAGAATAGAAAAGCTGATTACTGAAAATGAGGAACTTAAAAAACAAAACAGTCAACTCCAAGAGGATACTGAAAGGCAGAAGAGTTCCTTTTCATTTACTGAAAAAAACCTTGAAGCTAGTTATAAAGAGCTGCAGAAAGAATGTGCAAGTCTTCTGAAGGCAAAAACTGAGTTAGAAGAGAACAAAAATAAGCAGGAAACTGAGTATAAAAACAAACTCAAAGCTTTGAATGAAAAGCTTCACCACTTAGAAAGCAATAGACTGGTTTTATTTAAAACTAATATTTCTGGTTTTGAAGGGAGTAAAGAAATCAAGGTGTCCAGGGCAGATGCATCTGAGTCTGGAGAAGTTGTAGAGAAAGATGCAACGGAACTTATGGAAAAACTTGAGGTTACTCAGCGTGAGAAGCTGGAATTATCCCTCAGACTTTCTGATCTTTCTGAACAGTTGAAGTTAAAGCACAGTGAAATTTGTCATTTGAATGAAAAAGTTGTATCCTTAAAAGATGAGAAAGAACAAGTTCTAGCAAAATGTAAAGAACTAGAAGTCATAATTAGCCATGCTCAGAGAGGAAATAGTAGTAGTAATGAACCGAAGACAAAATACTCTAAAGGAAAAGCTCTGAAGACTGCTGCTCCAGCGTCAGAAAGTAGAATTAAAACCCTTGATTCAAGGAATAAAGTTGATGAAGGAATAAATGTAAGAGGAAATCTAGGTTCAGGTAAAGATATCAGTCATGAAGTAACAAAAAGAAAGGAAGTTCAGCAAGTGTTGAAGCCAGAACAGCAGTCTCTTGTAGAACATTTGCATGGGGTGACAGACAAGTTGACAGATGAAGCATCGTTAATAGCCATTACACAGAGCCAGAATAATAATCTTCAGCAACAAGTGGATGCATTAAAATCAGAACAGGTACGTTACATGAAGCAGTATAGAAAATAATTTACAGGAGCTTACACTTGGAAATTTGCATCGTATTTTTCCTATCAGTTGGTTTTCAGTACAGGTATGTGGTCATGTGTGTGACAGTGTGACCAGTGATGGAAAGTGGTTACATGAATGACCAGAATGGTAACCATAATCAATGTGTATACGAATGCTATTTTTCAGTGAAAGAAATACTTTTCCCTTACATTTAGTTAAATCAACAATAACAAAATGTAAGGAGATGTGTAGAGCACTTCACACTTTGATACAGCATTTAAATTACTTGAGGTGAAAATTTATTCACTAAATACTCATTTAAACAAAGAGATAATGAAACACTTGACTTCTTGAGTCATCTTTTATCAAATTTGTTGAAATATCAAACTTATGAGATACTAATCTTCCATTATCAAAATTTTTGTCTATATGCAGTTATCACTTCTTAAGAAATGTATTTGAATGTGAGTGTGAGAAGAAAAAGGTGTGAAGATAAAGAAGCTATGCATGTCGTATGATTCTAACCAATCTCTGTGTTTTGCTGGAGAAATTTTGCTTGTATTTTTTGGTATTGTGAATTAATTGAAGGTAGTTTGGAAAGGATTGTTATTTGCCAACAAAAGTAACTTAACTACTGAATTACCAGTATTTATTTAGGTGCTGGAATCATACATTTAACTTGAAATTTATATAAAGTGAGGAAGTTGAATAGCATGCTGCAAGAAGTGTGCAACTAAATTTTCTCTACAAATAGATGTTAACCATTCTTCTACTATTTTTTTAGATTGGTTTGGTTTTTTCCACCTAACAGTGAACTAACACCCATCACTGCCTATTTTATTTGTATTGTAGTTCATTCATTTCCTAAGAAATAAAGTCACAAGCAAAGCCGCAATGGAAACAGTTGTGAGATTATACAAAAGAGCTATAGTTGTATAATGTAATTATTTAATTGTTTTTAGCATGTGATAAGGGTCTTGCAATTTCCTGCCATAGAACTAAAGAATCATTATGGTCTAGAGGTGTCTAAAAGCCTTTTCAAACTTGGCCTCTAAATAGCTCAGTATTGGCATATCCTAAACATGTTTTAGCTTTACCAGTAACATCTCCAGAGGTGGAGACTAGAACTACAGGCCTTGGAAATCAATGGTTTTTAAGGTCTGCTATTAATACACACTTTTTTTCTGTATTATGAGTGAACTTTTTTGACTTACTTACACTTTTAGTAGTGATATTGATCTCACTTCATTGGCGTAAAATTCATTGAGGTTTTATTGCTGAAAAATAGGAGTTGAAGCATGTTGAGTTTTGTTGATTTTAGGTCGATTTTTATTTTAAGTTGAAAAAATGTCATACTATTTTGTTGCAATTCAGTTTTCCAATCTGTGTATTTTTAAATTTGCCTAATGTATACAATATATGCAGCATTCCATTCAACACATTATTAGTTTTAGAAATTGGCAGAGACAGGATTTTTTTTGTTTTCTTGTTTCTCACTCTTTGTAAAATGTGTATTTTTATTTAAAGACTGATTTACAGCTACAACTGGAAGCACAGCGCATTTGCCTGTCCCTGGTTTATTCAGCTCATGTAGACCAGGTTCGTGAGTACCTGAAAGCAGAAAAAGAGAGTGCACTTTGCAGTCTTAAAGAGGAGCTTGTACATAGTCATCTACAAGAGATGAATGATCTTAAAAAAATGCATCAGCTGGAGCTTCAGACCTTGAAAATTCAACAAGCAGGTAACGACCAAAATTATGGGAGTGAAGCTTCTGATGTGAAAAACGGCTTTTAAAGGAAAACAAGCATAAGAGTTTGTGCATGTAACTGCCCAAGAAATTTTTTATATAACATTTTGAAGTTGTTTTGTACCAAATTACTTACCCATTACAAGTAGTCTGTTACTCAGGGTACTTAGGAACACCACCACCACCCCCTCCCCCCAAGTAATAATAATATATAAAAAAAGAAGGAAGTATTACAACTCATGTTTTGCCATTTATAGTAGGGCAATTAATTGGAAATAACTATATATTAACTTCACCTATAACGTTTTATTCTTTACTGAAATAATAAGCAAATGCATCAGCAAAATATTTTGGGGCTTGTTTCATTCTATGTTTTTTTTTAATTACTCCGCTGACTCCCTGACCACGTTAAGTAAGCTTCTTTGCTACTACTTTTTGGCTTAGTGAGTTTTATGTTATCGTTTGGCTTTTATGTCATCCCATGATTTGCCCTTCTGCAATTTTTTTGACATAAGTTCTTTGCCCTCCAGTATGTTTCTGTAAAGTTTGATCTTTCTAGAGGTCACGAGCACACAAAGCCATTTGTTATCAGTTACTCCTCTTGAACATGCAGTTCTACCATAATAATCTGTCTGTGTGATGGAATAAGAAAGAAGGGAGCAAAAAACTGCCTTTCTAAGAGTTCAAGAGGCAACATCACCAAGGCAGGAAATTAGGCCTTTGAAAAGTTGTTGTGCATCTAGTGTTTAAAAATAATACAAATAATTTGTATTCATAGATGATGAAGTCAAATCTACACAAAGACTTATAGAAAAGCTGAATGAAGCTGTAACTGAGGAATGTTCTAGGCTTGCTCAGGTAAGACTTAACAAAAAAGGTTTATTAAAAAGAAAAATTTGAAAATTAAAAATTACGTGTACAGTGAGTCGTCATATCTTTCTACATAATTTTTAAGAGGTTTTCTTTGCAGCTTTTCTCTTTGCATTGATCTCAAAATAGAGACTGCTAAACCTGGTCTTCCAAAATAATATTGCAAGGAAATTTTTACTTTTTTTCCTCAACTGTTTCATGTCCTTGTTCAGACAATTCTTCTGTCTTATCTAGTCTTAATCTTTGATTTAATGTTTGTTTTATATCTACTAGTTCAGAAATATTTTTTTTCCCTTTCTGTATGTCTCTGGCCATAAGTTTGTGATTTAACAGCAGTCTGATGTCACGCACATATCGACACATGGGCCATCACTCTCATATCTACAATAAGATATTAATTTCTTTCTTAGCTGCAGCAGGTCTTTCAAAGACTTAAAAGTGTCTAAGAATCTAACAAAATTGCCGTCTCTATTGTTTTAAGTAACTAAAATGATAATAAAAAGTAAAGCTTATTTTCAGTCTATTCTGGTATCATCCACTGATAATACTATTTTGCTTTGTCTTTTTTTTGTACATTACTAGTGATCAGTGGCCCTTAGAGGTACTTTTGGACCTGCAATCAAGTTACTTATTAAATTTATTACTGAATATTAAACTTATTACTGAATAAATTAAGCTACTTTCATCATGCATTATAAGCTGTTGTTTTCCAGTCATAAATACTTGAAATGGTTGGTTTTGGTTGGGTTTTTAATCCTTCTTTGCTGTACTTTTTTCAGCACCTTTTCAGGAAGGTTGGTAGCAGGACGTTTTTACTTGAGAGCCAGCATAGGAGCTATTAAGGAGGACTCCACGATAGCTCACAGAAAGTAGTGGCTGAATGAGAGTCTTTCTCATTAGTTGTTTCACATTTGGGAAGAAAGCTGCTGATCTCTGTGATGCTGTGTTGAGCTTTTGGATAAATAATTTTGCTTTTGTAAGTTGTATTTGGTGTCCGTTGAGTCCAAAATCTTCAAATAAGGAATCCCACTGTGTGCTCTGAGCAGGCCATTTTTTTTTCAATTAGCTTTTATCTTCAGAAATCATATGGATAAATTTTCTGTTTGTCTACTCATTGTAAATAGGTAATGGGATATGTTCTGCTGGCCACATTGCACCAACAAATGTGAGGCATTCTGTTTATGACTTGCTTGAGTTTTCTGATGTTATTCTTTTATCCTATTTGCTCAATATTTAAGAACAAGATTAATTGTAACCTCTAAAAAGATACAAATTTCTGCCATAGGAAGTCCTTATTTAGATTAAAATACCAATTTACAGGAATGGCACTTACAATGTAACTTTGCTTTCAGCATTAATAAAGGAGACCTTTATCTGCAAGATTTCAGTACTTAGCAGTTCCAAATTAAATAACAATTCCAAAAAATATGTATTTATGTTTTAGTTGAAAAGTCCTTGCATACCTGTTTCTTTTATTGGGAGTTTTAAAGATTGTCTAGGTTTTCATGACTCAGCAGAATATCTATGCCATCATTTCCACAGAATACAAAATACTACTTTCTTGTCACCATTTTTCTTGTTTTCTTTGTAAGTTGTGATTGAGAAATTAATAAAAAATGCTTCACTTTTTTTCTTTGTTCCATTTGTTGTGCAGGTTTTGTGTGACAATCAGAGTGAACATTCTTCAGCTGCTGTAGAAGTTAGCAATAGGGAACAGAATCTTTTCTGTAGACCTGCTACTCTGAAGGAAAAACTGAGTGTAGAATTACCGATACACAGAGGTCAAGCTCAAGGTAATGACATTGTACTATCATGCTGGTTAAAAAAAATCCCAAACTGATTTCAAGTACTTCGGACTGGCAATTATGCTATTAGTTGTTCAGGTGCTAATTGCTGTGCCTAAATAGCTGCTTTAGAGCTTTCCTCACTATTCTGAACCACTTTTATTTTTTATTATGAGTATTTTCTTGTGCTGTTTCCATTATAGTGGAAATTGTTGTGGTTTGGTTTGGTTTTTTCTCTCCTCCTTTTGTAGAAGAAGCTAGAAGCTCTACCAAAAAAATAATATATATCAATACTATAAAAAAATGCATCCAAAATTTGGAAGGGGCCTCAATTGTTTCAATAATATCTAATGGTTATCAGATAATTCTTCGGTGAAGAACTTGTGAACAACTGACTGTATTAAAGTTGATGGTAAAATGTTCAAATTTTGTTTTTTGTTTTTTTTTTTAAGTCCCTAGTTATCTGTGTAATTTAGCTGTACAAGAACGTATGGATGCACTTTTACACAAGATAATGGAAGAATATAGTAGGCTGAAAGCACTTCAAACACAGCTGATGAAGGATTGTAAAAAGGTAAACTTTTTATAGTATGTGAGCATTTGCATTTTCTCTGTTGCAAAAATTCCTTCTGGATGAGTGAAGAATGTATTTGAAATTGTGTTTATGTATCCTGGTTGAGTGGTAGAGCAAGGCAATGATTTGATGAAATGGAGGAAGCTGCTACCCATGTCACAGAATCATGGAATGACTGAGGTTAGAAGGCATCTCTGGGTTTCATCTAATCCAACCCCTTGCACAAAACAGGATCAGCTAGAGGAGGTTGCCCAGGACTGTGTCCAGACAAATTTTTAGTATCTCCAAGGATGTAGACTCCACAAACCCAGTGAGCACCTTGTCTTATTCAGGTTACACCTTCCCAGCTGTCCTAGCCTCTCATTGTAAGAGAGGTGCTCCAAGCCCCCCATCTCATTTGTAACCATCTGGCTAGGCTCATGCCAGTATCTCCATTTTTCTCTTGTACTGGAGCCAAGTGTATCTCACCAGTGCTGAGTAGAAAGGAAGAATCAGCTCCCTCGACTTGATGGCAAACACTCTTCCTGATGCAGCCCAAGAGGCTGTTGGACTTCTTTCATAATGGGATATTGCTGATTCCTGTTTGACTAGGTGCCCACGAAGGCCCCCAGGTCCTTTTCTGCAAAGCTGCTTTCCAGCCACTCAGTCCTCTGCATGTACTGGTGCACAGGACTATTCCTCTCTAGGTTCCAGGACCAGCATTTACCTTTGTTGAATTTCATGAGGCTCCTATCAGCCTGTTCATCTGGCCTGCTGTCTCTTGAAACAGCAGCACAACCATCTGGTGTATCAACCACTCCTCCTAGTCTCCAAATCTGCCGAGAATGCACTCTTGTCCCATCATGCAGGACATTAATGAAAAGGATAACAGTATTGGCTCAGGTATTGAGCCATTAGGTGCACCACTAGTTATTGGCTCCTAACTGGACTTTGTGCGACGGATCACAACATTTTGAGGCCATCAATCCAGCCAGTTTTCAGTCAGCTTCACCAACCCCATGCTTCATCATTGGGCATGTAATGGGAGGTGGTGTTGGAAGGTTGGTCAGGTATGATTTCCCCTTCATAAATCCATACTCACTACTCCAAAATGAAGAATCTTTTGGCTTCCTGTGTTTGGAAATGATTTCCAGGATTATTTGCTCCCGTCACCTTCACAGAGATCAAAGTGTGGTTGACTTGCCTTTAGTTCCTCAAATCTTCCTTCTTTTTCTTGAAGGTAGGAGTGCTTTTATCTAGCCCTCAGAAACTTCCCTCAGTGACTGTGACCTTTAAAAGATAATTGAGAATGGCCTCACAATAATACAGACCAGGTCCCTCAGCACTTCTTGGTATATCCCATCAGGCACCACCAAATTGTTCATGTCCAGTTTGTTCCTGAAACTGATCCTCCTCAACCAAGGTTGTCTTCCTTGCTCCGAACTTTTACAGGGGCCTGGGATTTCTAAACACAAATTCTATGAGTAAATTTGGAGTTGATACTATCATGTGTTAAATAGAGTACACTAACTAATTATACCTAGAGGTGGCTGCCAGTCACATGTATTGATGGATATATGTGTAAAAAAAAAAACCCCAACAAATTGTATGTGAAACTGGCATCTTGGGCCTGAGGAGGGTAGTAGTGTCTTCCTCTCCTTCTTGGAGAACCCCTGGAGTCAGAGGAATTATGACTTAACAGTTTATATTCAGAGAGGAGTTTGAGATTTACTGTGGACTTTGTGCACAGGCTGATCAAGTAGCTATAAATGGATACTTGGTCATTCAGGCTGTAAAATGAAACACATTGTTACACTGGTTACGCTCTCTTATGTATTGGGCACCAACCTTTCTTGTATGTTTATAATTACAGTTAATATTTTTGCATTATTGCCAGACAATTTGTTGTCATTTTTATTTACTTGATTATTTTTTAGGTCGAAGATCCATGGCTATCTTCTTCAGAAAGGAGGAAAGAAGAACCACCTAGCCATCTTGAAACAAGAAAGGAATGTCTGAAGATCCCTTCACAGGGTATAATGGGTAAAAAGATGCATATGCTCTTTAAAAAAAAAAAAAATTAAAAAAAAAAAAATATATATATATATATATTCAGAGAGAGAGAGAAGACAGTAACTTTAAATATAAACTGATTTCTAGCTTACTACAGCTTGAAGCATATAAGAGATTTTTGCTGGTTTTGCAGTATGATATTCTGATTTTCTTAAATCTCTAAAATATTTCAAAATTATATTCTGTGAAACAGTTCTGATTTAGTCTTTTTCAGTTTTCCATAGTTAAAGTTCCATTACCCATATCAAATATAGTTTTGCAAAATGGAAGATTGCTATAAATATTTGTTATGGAAAAGTAATTATTAATATGATACCAGAAGAAATTTTAAACTACAGTAATTATTCAGTCCATCACTGCTAATAACTTGGGATGTAGTTAATTTAATGTAATTTATTCTTCCCCCCCCTTCCAAATAACCTACATATAGATCCTACGATTCAAGAATACTGTTCAAGGGAGATAGGGAACCTTAAAACACAACTTGAAGAACAGCATGCTCAAGAACTGGAACACCTCCGGTCCTATTTCCAACAGCAGCTGAAAGAAAGTGAAGAGAGGTACACTACAGAGATCATCCATCTGCAGGATAAGCTTCAGAGTGCTGGGGTGTCCTCTGACCACACAAGGTATTAATCAGTTCCTTAATGCTTATAACTTTGCACTATGTACAAAAAGTGTTTTCAAGTAAACATTCATGTAAAGCTATGTGTTTTCAAAATTTGAAACATCTTCTATAAAAACATTAGTTTTATGTTGTTTTGTTCCTTCAAGAGTTGAGACTGTTACAAAGAAATGACATAAACATTACAAATGAAGTAGTGCAGCATTTAGCATTTATTACATTTTTATAGTTAATAGGGGAAGATTTGATAACTGGAATAATGTATGTATCATTTCATATGTATCACCTTTTTAGCAGTAATTTCAAAACTTCCAACTCAACAGACCACATTTAATGCTTAAAACTCCAGGTCATGTACTTTACACCTTGTGTAGACATAGTTGCATGAAATTGATTATTTTCTAGAATGATATGTAGCAATAAAGTTTGTGGCAGAGTTGAGGTCCACTTCACACATTCTGGCTTCATCACATAGCCATGGGACATACTCAGCAGCCTTCTCTTGGCCCTGACCATTGTGGCCTTTCAAACCTGAGAGAGGTGCAAAGGTCTTGGGGGGATCCTGACAACTGTGAAGCCTCCTTTTGTTCCCTGATTCTTTCACTGTCTCCCTGAATGTATTCAAGGAGTGATGGGTGCTTTTGATTGTGCCCTATTCAGTGTCATCTCTGGTTTCCTGTTCTTCTATTTTTGACCCTCAATTCCTTCCTTTTGTTTCATTTTCTGTACTACAAATCCACTCACTTTCTCTGCATTTTTCTTTGACCTGAATCTCCCTTCTGTGAGAGAGAACTGTGAGGGTTTTTCAGTCAGATCAGTGCTCAACAGGAAATAGATGGACCCAGTGGCAATAGGAAGTGCTACTAAGAAGGGGTGAAAATTGTCTAGATGTTTCTAGAAATTGTTATATAGTTTATATACTTATGACAGTACTCTCTTAAAAAGTGAAAGGACTGTAGCAGGATAAATCCCTAGAAGTTGACAGAAATGAAGATAAAAGTATTTTCCTTCAACCATGACCCGTCAGAACCCAAACAGCTCTTTTTCCCTTATTGTTCACAGCCCTTTCATCTGTGTTTTTCTAACTCTTAACCAGTTTTCCTTTCATTCCTTAAAATATGTTTCTAATCTTGGAAGTGGCAAGTAAAATAACCTTTTTTTTTTTTCCTCATATGAATTACACTTGTATATACTGGTTTTGAGGTGAATAAGAGGTCCAAATTCTACAAATGTTTATGCATCTGTAAGACTAAGGCCATGCTTTTATATCATTGTTTTCCACCATCTGCCTTGTGGAATCACTACACATTTATTAGCCTAAGCTCAGTTTTAAGAGACTGTATAGCTTCTTAATTACATTTTAATCCTTTCAAAAAAAATACAAGCTATGAGCATTTTCAAAATGCATTTTGGGAAACTGTATACTTCTGTATGCGCATTGGCCAGTTATAAATATTAATATATGATTTCTAAATTATTTTTAAATGGGTGGTTAGTGTTCTGATTTAATCCATGATAACTATTCACCTAAAATGCTCACAACTCATTTTACATTTGTTTAATAAGCATTTATAGCGATTATTGGTAATTAAGGTAACAGCGGAGAAAAAATTTCCCAAGAAGAGTTGCATTCTCTTAACTTTCATACCTGAAGTTCAGGTTTTAAACATTAAAATTAAGCTGGGGTTTTACAGGAAAAGTTCCTAGATCAGTACATAAATTGGTTTCTAATAGCATAGCATGGAGATCTGCCTTATTATGTCTCAAGCCTGAAGAGGAGTGCCTTTTAATGGTGTTGAACGATCTGCTACATTCTCAGTTTCCATACCTGGTTTGTTGCTGCATCTTTTAAACTAGGATCTATGTAGGAGTATAGCTGTGGCCAAGCCAGGGAATTTTTGCAGGACGTTTTCATCTGGTTATATATCCTATTGCGATATCAGAAAAGAAGAAAGGAAAAAAAAAACCTACTCTTCACTCATCAAATTAAATATGACTGCTAAAAATAATGGGTTGCCTTTTGTAGTTATAAATGTCACAAGTTTGATGAAATTACCATCCTGGACTCCATTTCAGGGTTTTCTGAACTAGCTCTCAGATTTGAGCAAAAGAAAAGCTTCATGGTCTCTGTAAAACCCGAGTGTAGTTAAGATTGTAAGTCTTACAATAAACTTACTTTCTAACAATCTATTTTGTACCCTGACTTTTAGCAAGGTATTAGTTTATTTGTGTTAGATCATAAGTACTAGAGGATAGGTGAGGTTTTTTTAAGGTGGCTTCATACTGTATTTTATCCTTTTGGCAGTGTATTTCTGTTAAGTGTTTTTCAATATGCAGTGAAAGGGGAGCTAGAGTTTTGATGGCGTGTGGTGTTATTTTGTTTTTTAGTGATGTATAGCACTTTATATAGAGAGCAGTTGCGCTGCAAAAGACAGTCTGAATATATTTCAGCATGTTATCTAAAAATAAAATGAATCATATTAGATTTCTTACTATTTCATGTGTATGCCTTACCTGTATAACACAGGAAAGAAAGGAAGCAGTGCACCTGTTGATAAACATCAATTTAAAAGAATCAAAATAAATATAATGATTTTCTAGGTGTTTTTATGGCTTCATACACAGTGATTCTGCTTTCTTTCATATCCTTATAATTCAAACAAGTGCTTTTGTCTTCATCTTGTTGTGTATAGTTACCGAACACAAAATATTCTCAGGTAGCTTTAAAAGTAAGTTGTTTGTGAGGTCCTTGGCAAAACTGGTGTTAAGGTGTGTTACACTAAAAGGAGGAGCTAGTGTTTGGAAGGCAAATTAATTATAAAGTCAAGTGTACAAAATTAAAAGGTGGTTCTGAATAAAATATTTTCAGTTATTGGTCTTTGAATATATGTAATGTATATGTATATTCATAGAATGCATATTTGAATAGATGAAAAATAATGTATATTGAAATACTGATTTTGTTTCCTCCCTCTGCTTCTCTTACCTTTTAAGTGTATCCACAGAATCGGAAGTAAAGCTAAAAGTCTTCAGGAAACTGAAGTGCGCTGAAAATCTTCATCAGCAAAGAACAGATGAAGCACTGGAGGTATATAATTCAACTGACAGCTATTATACACATAATCAATATAACTTTGATGCTTCAGATTCTAAGATGAAATTGAAATATGGACTAGTCTTTTGTAGTATTAATTATCGTCTTAGTACTACACTATACTATTAGTCCGTGTCAAAGGAAAAATATTTAAATTTTGCTGACAAACATTTCTGGAAATGATGAACAATAAAACTTGCTTTATTGGTCCTGGGTTTAAATTTTCATCTTTTTAAAAAATTTTTTTCTCTGAAGCAAGACATTTGGGTTGGGCTACTACTTAAAACAGTGGAAGAAAAGTAGTGTTCAAATTTTGGGATTTCTTTGAAAGTCTTTAAAATATTGTGACTTTTCTTTAAACAATAGTTATGAAAGAAGAGTGATTTAAGTGAAATCCTAGTACTTTTTAAGTATAGACTGCACGGTTTTGGAGAAATTTTGTAAAAGTAATCCCAAAGGTCTTAGAAACCAAATGCAAATGGAGAAGAACCCATACATTCCTCCCCTAATATGCTGGAAACCTGGCTCAAAAATTCTGCAATTTGAAAAATAGTGATGCTGTTTTGTGCTGTGATCCTGTGCTTTCTTACCTGTTTTCTCTGCATTTGACAACTGAAATAGTGCTGGAAGAAGAGTTGATGCAAATTCAACTTTAAAAATTAATTTTAAAGCAGAAACACTGCAGTGTTTTTTACCTGGTTCTTTTATGTTGTGGTACAAAATTATGTGATTTGCATGAAATGAAGAGAACTTAACTGAGGAAAAAAATCTCAGTCAGATTTACTTTAAATATTAATTTGAGATTTCATGGTTTTCTTACAGCGTGCTAGTGAAATTGAAATGCAGAATGATCTGGACGTTATTCAATTGCTAGAAAAACAGTATCAAGAAAGATTAGAAGAAGAAATAGCAAAGGTATAATTTTTATTTTGTTACTTTAAAATATGTTTTAGAAATACTGTCATTTTCATTTGTGTTTCTGACAATTCAGATAGTTGCAATACCATATGCAAACTTTTGTTTGATATATTTACAAGGAATTGTTTAATTTGAATTCTGAACAGGAAAGTCTTCCAAAAAGTATTCTGAAACATTTTGGGTTTTTTAGTTGTCTGTTGAATTGTTGACTCATAATTTCTGTTCATGGGGGGGGGTGGTGGTAGTGTTTTGCTTTAAAACTTCAAATAAAATAGCCAACATGCAACCATACTCGACACTAGAATTTATTTAGAAAATTCAGAGGTTTAGAGAGTGGATTTCTTGCTACTTTAGGCTTAACAGCTGACCAGTTCAAAAGATTTTGCACTTAACAGTTCCACGCTATTTCCTGAGCATATTTTATTGTGCATTTTAATACATTGTCTAAAATACATATAGTTTTTATTTGAATCTGGTGACATTCTCTAAAACATGAGAAGTAAAATTAAGGTTTTTTTATAGGTAGGGTATATTAAATTGTGGATTTACTTTTTGACAAAAAAGGTTTTAAAACTTTGCAGAATGAAAGATTATCTCTGCTTTGATTAGTTCATGGCATAAATAAAAATCATATTAACATAAATTGAAAATTGGGAAAAACAGAAGAATACTTCTGAAAAAGGTTTTCAGTCAGAGTTAAGAAGAATGCTGTAGCTAGCACTGGCTGATGACATTAATTTCAGTAATCCATGTTTCTGGAGTAAAAGTTTCATTTCTCTCATCTGCTGCCAAGAAGACACTTCTTTATGGAAAAGCAAAATAAATGATTGGCTAGTGTTCGGCTAACAGCAGTTTAAGTTCAAAAGACGAACTCATATTTTCTGGAAAGGAAGAGTTAGGTGTTTTCAAGTGTAACACTTCTGTACTTATACCGTTTTATTCACACTTTTTTGTAGGTTGCACTATAAATTGCTTTAGTCTAAATCTGGAAAAGAACAGCTCACAAAAAGAACAGCACACATGGAAAAGGGGTTTATTTGTATTAGAAGGAGATAGTTAGCAATGCAGAAGTTACCACCCTGTTGTAACTGCAACTGCAGCTCTTTAAATGCCAGAAGTTTCTTTCTGGTCAAGTGAAATTCCTGTGCTGAATATCAAGCGTATGGCACTGCTGTCTCCATACAGCGCAAAATTCCATGTCAGTGAAACATTTACAGAGGATGCTTGGTTACATAGAGGCATAAGATGCACTTACATCAGTATGCCAGGACTTCTTAAAGTTGCCTGTGCTGGACATTGCCTTATAGAATCGTTTTTTAAAAAAACCTAGATAATTCTGTGCTAAATGATGTATTTTAACTGAAAATAGCGTTATAGTTTATTAAGCTACCTTAAATACAGTATGTCTGTATTTTAAGATGTGACTGTTGATGAGGTTGACCAAATGACTCTGTCCTTTTAACTTTCTGGTTTCCTCTGGAAAAGAAAAAGGAATCATAGTTCAGAACTTTTTGTACTTATTGATGGTCAGCAATGAGATTTCTTCAGCAATAAGAGATTAAAGCATAAACTAATAACCGACTTTTTTTATTTATGCAGGTAATTGTGTCAATGAGTGTAGCATTTGCCAAACAGACTGAATTGTCAAGAATTGCTCGGCAGAAGGAAGAAGCAGCACAAACACAGATTGTACATCAACAGGGAATGCATTTTGAAATTAAAAAGCAATGTAGTGAAGAAGAGATTGACAGCCCTTTTAGAAATGCAACAGAAAAAGGCAGCAAGCATGAAGAAGAATCAAAATCACTTTGCAAGGAACTCAGTGAAGAGTCTGCTGAGATCAACTCACTTGGAGAAGAGCTTCATTCCAATAGCAAGCCTGGATACATACTAGGACAGACAACTCCTGATCACAGAGTGATTTCTGAAGAACTTTTTTCCCATGTCAAAGGGCTTACTGCAGAAGAAACACCGGTAAGTGTAAAAAATAAAACCAAAAACCACAACAAAAAATCCAAACAAAATTGGCAGTGTGTAACGCCATTTCTGAATAATCTTTCCAATGGATTTACAGTTAATTTCAATGAGAAAACTGCAAAGAAAGAAACTAAGATGAAAATTCCATTTAAATACTTCCCTTTCCTTTTTAAAGGAGTGATAACTTTAGACCTAAATTTTCTACCATTCTTTCCTTTGTTCTGCCTATCACAGCATTATGCTATGCTGTAAGGAAAGAATGGGTAATGTGGAATATGGTAAAAAGCAGTAATAATAAATTTTTGACAATAAATATATTTTGACTCCACAATAAATCCTCAGTTTAATTTTTTTTTAAAATTAAACATGGCATTAGTTGAAGCAAAAATTACACTAATTTGTGTAATAGTTAAATATTCTGATCTTGTATTATCTTGATAGTGAATAAACTCTAATACTGTTTTGTATGATACTGTTCTCTCAAACTCCTGTTGTACACACATTCACTGTATGTATGTCTGCCAGTGTAATTGCTGTTGAGATCCCTGCCAGCTAAATAGCATAAGAATTAACACTGTTTACAATTATTTTAAAAACCTTGACTTTTAAGTGGAGAATAATTCTAAGCTTGGACATTCCAAGAAGCAGGCAACAAGGTAATGCTTTCGTGATAACTACTTTAATTTATGAAAGTATTTTCTAAGATTTATTTAAATGTTCACTAGAAGCTGTCATTGAACATAAAATGCTAAAATAGTTCCAATATTTCAGTGCTACAGTGAGATGGTGACATCAGACAGAGAAACATCAAGTCAACTGTTGTTATACGAGGAGCGTTTGGAAGACATGCGACAGGAGCTAGTACGGCAGTGTCAGGAACATCAGCAGGCAACAGAATTACTGAGACAAGGGCACATGCAGCAAATGGAACGTCAGAAAGAAAATCAAGAGCAACTCTTAGCAGAGCTTGAGAGTCTTAAAGTGCAATTAGCTGAGGTAATATGGAGTTTTACTCAATGAGTTAATGTATATATACAAACACATGCATGTATATATGTATGAAAGGCATATTTCTTTAATCACAACTCAGTCAGTGGTGGATCACTTCAGACTTCTGTAAACCTGGAGAAAAACTGTAGTGCTGCACAGCAGCCTGAAGAGTGAGCGAGTGCACGTGCATTGTAGGCCATGGCACCTCCCAGATATATGGAGCTCTGCAGGGTGCAGGCAAGCATTCATTTACATCAATGAAGCCACCAGCCATGGCTAGAAATACTATAGAATTCTTAATTTTTCCTCATCCCTGCTTGAGGTTTAAACTTGAACAGTATTGGTGGCTTCCTGCAATAACATGGTTTGGCTTTTATTTTTTTTAAATCACAGGAGTTGAAGTCCTTAGCGACTATCAGAATAAAACAAAATCTGTGGGGTTTGGTGGGAAACACTGCTGGGTTTTTGCCTTTTTAAATTTAACTTGCTCATCTATTCAAAGCATATGTATGCTAATGAAATTCATTAATTTAGCTTAATAATTAATGTCATTTATAGACTTGTCTTCAAGGATTCCTTCCCTTGAAAGATAAAGTAAACAGAATCCAGAAGAATTTATTTTGCCCTGTTTTAATTTCAACAATGTAACATTACAGAAATGCACATTGGAATAGTAATGAGTGAATTCTAAAGTTCTTTGCTTTTACTGTGGAGTATAGCTGTAGATTCTTTCAGACGTTATCCAAACCTGGCTCTGTTCTGTTTAAGTTCAAGCCCAGGTAGCTGAGGAATCTAGAGAGCCAGTTGCTTGTATCCTAGGTGTCTTGTCCAGCAATGTCAGGTGTCTTTCTCTTAGCTGCTTTGTAGGTGTCTTTCTGTCATTTATCCTGATAATCGTTCCCTTCAATATATACATCCTTTCGTCTTTTACCTCGTTGTGACTTTGCAACAGCATCTTTCCTCAGGGGTTGAAAATCCCTGAAACTGATAAAAAACATTAAGTAGAACATATACTGCTGGCATTTCTCCAGTTTTGAATACCAAGACTCTTTATCCGTAAGAACCACACAGGAACATATGCATTGCATTTAAGAGCCATGAATGCTTCTAGCTCTTCTAAAAGAGAGTGTGTGGAGGTTTGTTATAAATAGAACTTATTTTCATCTTTTTTCTTCTGCAAAACACGTACTGTACAATGAAATATCTAAAAATTCCTTCCAGGTTGCATTGTGACTGCTGTGTTTCATGCAGAGCATAAACATTGTATGAAAATCTTAAAAAAGGTGTAAGATACCAAAAGTATTTATTAGCTGTATTACATTTTAGAAGGCTTTCAATGTATTTGTAACCAATTTGAAAGAGGTGGACTGAAATTTCATTGTGCAAAATGTGTAAAAAAATTAGAAGTGACAGGTCTCACATATTCAGAAGCTTAAACAATTGTGTGTGCCTTTATAATACTTCTTCCTTAGCGTGTCTCAATGGAGAATGACAGCCTGATGGCAGAGAGAGAGAGAATGCTTTTAGAAGAACTGGAATCGTTAAAAAAACATTATGTACCTGGAAAAGAGAGGCTGTTTTGTGAGCTACAAAACAACAGCACACAAACAGAGGTAAACATGGACCTTTGGACTTTCTTGGCAGCTGTAGCATGTAAAACCAGTAAGATTTCTTTATGCTGGCTACTCTTTTTATGTAATACATTTTCCTAAGAAGGTGCCGCTTGAACAGAGCAGGTTTAAGAATCAAGAGGTGGTACTGGTAAACATAGTTTTTTACTTCAGGTAAGCAGAAGTAGTTTAACAACTTGAAGGTGGGGATTATTACTATAGCTATTTGCTCAGGTAAGCTCACATTTTCATATTGCTATAGCAACACCAACAGAAAGCACAAGGACTGTGTAATCAGTATAACAAAGTTCTTTCTAATAGGCCCTGCCCTGGATTTCCTGTTTTGGTTTTATTTATGTTTTAGTTAATTTTTCCATGTAGGAAGAGTATTTCTTGATTTGTAATTTGCTGCGGTTTTATTAACAAAACCAATTTAGGTTTCAAATTTCATATTTACTGCATATAAGAAGAATATGTGGATTCTGCAATGACAGGATTTCTGTCCTTTTTGTCTTCTCTCCCTCTGCAAAAACTTACTCAGAATGAAAATGAAAACCAAAATGATGTGAGAGAGCAGATCTTTGAGGATGAAGATGGAGGAAGAAAGCCTGATGAAACATCTTCAGCTCTTCTTTCTAAAGAAAGGTACTTAGAACTGTTAAGAAATAATGTTTTTAAAAATGTTGAGAATCATTGTTTTGTTGTTAAATTAATGATATTTTTATTCTGACTGATAATGGCATAGAGGATGAGACAAAACTTAACCTATTTTACTATATCTTTAATATGACACATAGAATCATATTCATCATTTATCCATGTGTATTTATATGCCCGTTTTATGTACATTTATGAAATAAGTTTATATTAATATAATTGTTGTATTTGATAGTATCTTTTGACTATTCTGTAACATTTTTGATCTATGTAGGCAGTCTTTGTCACTTGAGAAAAGAGTAAGTTTATAATAAATACCAGGCAAATGTAAACCTCTGTTTTAAAAGAATAACTAGATAAAATACTCAAAGTACAAACATTGATAAATAGTTTGACTTTTTACATGTTTTGTAAAAAGAACTGACTTTGAACACAAATGTGCTCTTACTATTGATGTGTATGGTGTGGGTTACAGTCTTTAAAAAAGAAATCTTAATTTTACTGTTTCAGCTGCAAATCTTTCGTGGTTGCAAGGGTGTACAAGGGATAAAAACTTTGAAAGCAGGGGAAAATCAAAAGACTGATTAGTTTCTGTCCTGCAGGCATGTTCTTCAGAAGGCTAATGAGAAACTCATGAAGATTCTTTTAGAAGTTGTGAAGACAACTGTGGCTATGGAGGAGACAATCGGTCGCCATGTTCTTGGGTTACTGGATCGGTCTGGGAAAGTCCAGCCTTCCAAACCATCTGGATGGGACACAGAGACAGAGGACTCAGTAAAACCCTGTATCCGTGTGGGATATGAAAAAGGTACTGCATGCATGGTTTTCTATTTGTAACAAGTAGCACTTGCATAGTTTTATTATATATTTACATAACCTTAGTTTTGGAATTTTTAGTTAGAAATAAACTTTTAAAAAAAGATTGTTTGTCATTTGAATGTATGTGACATCTCTGCTTAAGAGATAACATTTCACGAGTTGTCTGGACAGTTATGACTCATGTCTAGGGCCCTGTTGTGAAGCCTGCAACAGAATGAGAAAATGATTGAATAATACAGAAATAAATATGTTCCTGTTGAAAGAGGTAAAGAGAACGAAACATAGCTCCATGGCATCTTGCACTAACTTTTATACCTCCCTCTGTATGTATGGGGAATGGGAACTGGTGTCAAACACTGTATCTCTGCTAGTGCGCTTAATGTATGTAGGGACATTGCTGGTCACTCTGGCCAGCTGTCATGGGGGACAGTCTGTATATATGCTTGTGGACTTCTTAGCCTCCTAATGAGAGTGGTTGTATGCAAACAGTCTTTTGGAAACAGTTCCAGGAACTTTCTAACTGCCAAGCCTCACCCATCAGCTGTTTGGAGGAGTGCTATTTGGCACAAGCCTAAAGGAGCACTTTAACATTGTAGTTAATTGCTTACCAGTGTCTTAAGAACTCTCCCAGGCTCTGTTTAATTTCCTGTGATTGTACTAGGATAATGTCCATCCATTTCTCTTTTGAGCAAGAATAGGTGCTCTGTCGTATTGTCATTTAGGTACCCATGGTACAGAAACCGGCATAAGGGTATGTACATTCATCCTGGGTCTTATGGGGAGGCAACATGCAACAGATAAGTTCACCCTAAAACATAATATTCATCCAGTTGTAGCTGGAATTCTAACTACTGTGACTAAGAAAAAGAACTGGAAGTCAAATACTACATTTCATTATTAAGAAAGAATCTATTACAGAGTAATAATACAAATGGTAAATGAAGATGAACTTTACCTCTTTCATTCAAAATGTTGATTATTAAATATTGATTCCCTTTAGCTTTAAATATAGGTCACATTAAACCTTGGGGCAAGTTAAGAAAGGTTGTATGACTTGTAGCAGTGACATCTCTTTCAGTTCATTAATGAAGAGGTTGTGCACGGTGAAATGTGTACAGCTGCAGTCCAAGGGTTCTTAATTTTGCAGGTTAAAAGCGTTATGCCTGGATAGTACTGCTGTTTCATTGAAAAACCTCATAACTTTTGTGCACATTTCACTGTATGTAATTGTGAGGAAAACTGGTTTTTGAAACAGTTTGAAACAACTGGTTTTTGAAAACTCAGACTTTTGAGTCTTTGCCTTTTACCCCTAATTTAGATTGAATAATTAAGCTTTTGGCCTTAATTTTTGATACTTGTCCAGGAGACCTGAAAGATTGAGAACATGTGCTACTATAATTGAAGGAATCACTTCTTTCAAAATGGAGTATTCTTGCACTTTACTTTGTGGTGGAAAATTTAATAGAGTTTGCTTATATTAATTGCAGCCCAGAGTAAGTATCTTCAACCACTGGTGACTATTTTCTACAGTCTCCTAGCCAGATGGTAAAAGGAGCAATGACCAGACTCAAAGTTTACCACCATCTCCTTTAGTCTTAAATTTTATGTGTTTTAAATAAATTTTAAATAAGTTTTCTATATTAAAAGCAGCAACTTATAAATACTCTTTTTATTATTCGTGTTCTCATTTTATAGTCTGAGGTGTGTAAAAAGCATTGGGTTTTCACAACATATATTGCCCAAAGAAATGAAAATGTGTTCTGGTTATGAAGGTGATGATTACACCACCTGGTTATGAAGGTGGTGATTACATGCTGTCACAGTTACATGTATTGTGGTATTACCTAGTGCATTTGCTGAGCCTAGTTCATAGTTATATCATGCCTATTCTCAGAACACAAACTGTTGCTTTTCTTCCTCATTCTTTTTTGCTGAGAATATTGCTCCCTTTTCTCAAACATTAAATACATACCTGTATCTACAAAGTGCTAATACATGATTATTGCCCTTCGCTACTCTCATACGTGCTTGCTCTGCACGGGCGTGTACAATGCACAACATAAGCATTTGCGTTTTTCCTGCTCCTGCACAACAACGTGTATACTTGTATTTGTCACTAATTATTGTCATTAACAATTCTTAATATGGATTGCTTGCATTACATGTAGGTAGAAAAACATGGTTAAAAGAGTAGCTTTTTTTGTATTTTAGGTGGCTATAATACACACATGTCTAGCTTTCATAATACTACTGTCTAAATGCCCAACAGGCCCTGTAATTGGAATGTATTGTTAATTTTTTGGCAAGTCTTCTGGTGAAAGAGTGCTCTCTTCAGTAGAAGAGAACTGTATTTCCCTTCTGGTAGTGGTGAAGGTTGACTGTTTTATATTTCCTGTTAGTGTATTTTTAAGAGGCATGTAAGAATTCACTCTTCTGTAATAAAACAATTTCTCTGTTGTTGTGATGTCCCTCTTGGTATAGAGCTGTTCACATACCAGATGTTTATTCCAGTATTCTTTTTTGCATGTTTTCTTACAATCAGAAACAATTACAAAAGAAGGAGAAACCTAAGAAAAAAGTGAGGGTTAAAGAAGACCCAAGCTTACAGTGGCTATAACTGGTGACTGTATACTTTGATGCGTACATAGTTCTGCTACTGGAGTCAGACAGCCGTAGTAGTAGTTGTACTGTTTCATCAGCTGAAGTATTTGATCCTTTTTCAAATGGAATTAGATGACAAATTCTATTAGTGTTTTCAGCAACAGGACTGTTGTTGTTCATTTCCTCTACTTCTACTGAATGGCCTGAGAGGACATAAGCTTTTAAAATTTTTTCCCCATTGTTTTCTGGAAGTAAGAAATAGGTAGACATTACTTTTATATTTAACCTGTGCATGTTACTGTATTATCTAGTACCTAACCAAACAAATCTTCCTTTTTAATTACTTAAGAAATTTGTGGGTATAAATTTGTATCAATAAAAATCTAATAATAAAACAGAAAAAATAATGTGTTCAGTAAAATGAATTTTCTCTGACCTTTTGAACATAATCCATATTTATTGCCAAGCAAAACTCGGTTTACTGGTTTTGCTGAGTTTCAGCGTTTAAAAAAGCTGAATCAGTAAGGTCACACACATAACCACAACCTGATTTATAGAGCATATAGAGGTTTATCCAGGACCTTGCCTAGATTATTGGCTATAACAGGATTTTATTTCTAGCAGAGCGAGTAAAGTTTAAATTTCAGTCATAAAACATATCACTGGAAGTAAACAGCATTTGTATGAAGTAATGTTATGAGTTAATTATATCTGGAGATTTGGGCCAGGAGTCATTGTGACAGAGTCGGCAGACTTTGCTGTTCTCCTCCCTCAGACGTTGTACCTTGGTTGAGGGACTGCAGTAATGCAGGTTCCTCTGGAGAAGCCTGTGCGGTTATGACATTCCTTGAACATTAACCCCAATTACATACTTCATGTCTCCTTGTTTCTGAGCAGTGGAGCAGGAACAAGGTAGTGAATAGCTGAAATGCCATAAAACTGATTTTTTTGTTTTCAATTTGTAACCCCCTAACCTTAATTCCTCAGTGGAATCTCAGGAGTAAACTGAGATACTAGCTCTACATGATGCAAAATATGTATTGCTTCGTAAATGTCAGTTGACAGCTCATAAACAACTTCTGTATCTGAAACTTCTGAGTAAGCACTGTATAATAAAGCACTTTTCTTAAGATTTAGTGGGCCATGACATCTGATGTGCTGAACTGCAAGCTTTGTGGCAAGGAAACAATATGAACCTTTGCTGTTTGGAATTTTTTGTTACAAGGAGAGAGTTTACACAGGGAGAAGACATTTTTACTTGGGCCATTAATATTCTATTTCTTATTTTGTGTTGACTAAAAATATCAATGAGGGACAGAGAATTTGATTTTAGTTTTGTTGGAGTGGGAGATTGAACGGTGTTATAAGGATTAGAAAAATGTGGGTTAGGCGTGTAACTTCCAGGGGCAGTTAATAAGACTTGACAGCATTTCTAGCTTCCACCACTGAAAATCTTCTGGAAAAATGCTGTGCTAAGATGCTGTGTACTAAGACCATTTTCAGGGGAAAAAGATACGGGGATTTCTACATCGCAGTTAGGAAGACATGTGAAATGAACTGCTGTTCTTAAGTGGCACTTCAAAGAAATGATAACACGGGCATCTACATTTATCATTTGCCATTGATTTTTCTGTTTGAGTTGCCAACCTTACAGTATGAACAGAATTATTGTAGGTTTTTACATTTGATACTTTCTGGTTTTTCTATCTTTGAGAGTAGTAAAGTTTCCATGTCCCAAATTATACTTTAGGTGACAGCTCTCTTTTTTTTTCTTTCCACATTTTTCATAGTTATATTTCAGGTAAATTATGAGGTTTTGTTCTGAGATTTTTCATATAATAAAATTATATTTTAGCATTGGTTTATTTTGTATTTACCCAGAAGAAATGAAAGCAAATTACAGAAGAACTGACATAAGCAAAACAAGAGTTTAAAGTCTTGTCATTAGTTCTTGGAAGCCAAATTGTACTGTTCTGGTCACTGGCAAGAAGAAGTAGTAATATTAGTGATACTATTAATGTAAGAGACATATTCCAGACATGGCTTTTGGCTTTTAAAAGGTTACATTCTAAGCAGGGATCAGTGTTTTTTTCTATAAAATTTTCCAGGCAGCCAGAAGTCAGATGATTTTGCAACAGACTGCACATTTATGCAGTTATTTTGTATAATGTTTATTTTTGTATTTGGCATACACTCATCATTGTGCAATTCAGTTGTACCTCTCAAGCAAATTATTTACTAAAATATAAGGGTTATAGGACATGAATTATGGGTTAAGCCTCAGAAGGAAAACAGGAATATTACGTAGATAATTCATACTCCGTCAAGAAAGAATCAGATTGTGCAATAACTAATATGTCATTGTTTTATCTTGTTTATAGCTGTGCTACTGTACTGTGGGCTTTTATTTTGTGAGACCTCTGAAGCTAAGCAGGGTCTTACCTGGTCAGTACTTAAGATGAGTGGCCTCCAAAGAGCATCAGGTGTGCAGTAAGTGTGTCGGTGGCTCAATAGGGAATATGCTTTCCTTCGACTCAAGTCTTTAACCAGTACTTTGGCACAGCATTTGGAAATACTTATGCTGCTGGATGTCCATCTTAAATGAAGGTCCTTTCTACTCTGAGGATATTAAAGCTTCTGCATCACTTGATATTTTGAGACACCCAGAGCCAACCCACATTTGGGTGGTGAGAAATCAGAATGCTATTGAATAAAAATTGTGAAATTGTTCATTTTGCGGCCTTCCTTACATTGCAGGGGGGTGGAATATTAGGATGTTAAGGGAAAGCTTTTATGCTGTACAAACCCATTGCAAATATTTAGTGTGCTGGCAGAAAATGACTGCCAGCCACTGCTAGGGTGACTCTACTACAGTAGTTTGTGGCTGAAGTTCCAAACTGCAGTACTCAAAAGTGCTTTGAAATCCTGTGTAGATGAAAGGTGCCATGTGAATGTATATTCTTTTCATCTGGTTATTCATTCCATTCATGTATATAGTGTGCTTCTGTTTTTTCCCTTGGAGTGTGAAAAGAGTTTGTAAACATATATCCCACATATCTAAAAGGAGATATGAAACAGTAATGGTGTAACTAGAAGAAAAAAAATTACATCTGCATTTAAAAAACTTTAGCAACTATAAGATAAAAGAAGACAAACCCAAACCTTTCTAAATCAAAATTGATGGAGATTAGTTTGTCGTATATGGGTTATATACATAATAGCTGCATCCGTAATGAAATAAATGTGAAATAAATAAAATTATTATCAGTATGTTTGCAGGTATAAAAGTATAGTAAGTAAACCAGGTGGTTAATCATGTCACAGCTTGTTAAAAAAACTAAAAACTAACCTGAAGACTAGAATCTGACTTTCTTGCTAGGGTCAAACAACATCAACAAGAAGACTCATATTTCTAGTGTTATTTGCATGCCTGATTAAGAGGCAAGAGCAAGTATAAGGAAATTGTATCCAGCAAGAGTACTTACAACATTTTTAAAGGCAGTTTGTAAAATTGACCTTTTAAAATTTCATTTCAATTTCTGTAACTATGCAAACTGTTCAAGTTCAGCAGTCATAATTCATGGAGTAATCAGGAACTTAAATTCAAAGATAACCCGGTATTGCAATTTTATTGCTAAACAGGCATTGACTGTTCTTAACTTGTTTAGTCATACTACTGTTTCCCAAAATAAGGAATTTTTTTGAGAAAACCTTAAGCAAAACCATTTAATTGTTTAAAAAAACCCCACAAAACCACACCCAACATTTATTTTATTTTAATTATATTTCAGAAATATACTTCATTAAAATTAACTGTAATTTTAAAAAGTTTCCACAATAGCAATTATTTCTGACATTTCAAATCTAACAACCTAATGACATAACTCTTCTTCATTTTTAAAAGATGCTATCAACAAAAGTTATCTACTGTCATGATGTACTACTATATTGTTATTTCATACTGAAAGTGTGATTTTAAAACATCTCAGGAGTGCTTTCACTTGTCTTTGTTAAACACAGTCCTGAATTTTAAACACAGTAAATTTACTGTTTTCTAGATGAATTGCTATCAGTTTAATATCACAGGCAAACTTTGTGTCTCTGCTTTTCAGACAGAAGGGATAATACCCTTAAACTGATTCAGACATCAAGAAGATTGAGAAGTAGGCAGGTGCCAGGTGACCTATCAGTAGGGAGAGTTACAGTCCCTCTGCACTGTAATTGACATATTCAGCTACCTATTTTAATCAATTTTCAGTTCAATAATGCTGAATTTTGGTGTTCTGTATCGTAGTTTGTTTGTCCTGAGAAACTGTCTGAATTTTGTGTGTGTTTCCCTTTACTCACTTGACTGTGCTTTTGAATCACTAATTTGAACAGTTTTGTGTTAATGGACACTAACATAGCTGGGCATTGGTGAAACAGGGACTGACAGGTTTTTTTACCTGGTTGTATTTTAAAGACAATCTTGCAAGTCATTATTGCAGGTTATTCAAAGTAGTAAGGGTTACTGATAGTAACAAAGGTTTGAAGATGAGTCTCAGATCCCAAAAGCATACTGAAAGGATGTCTAAAATATTCTGTTAGTATCTCCTTTTCTCTTTCCCTCTGCTTGTTTTTAGTTAATGTATTGTGTATCTTGTTTGTGTAAGTTTTAGTATGCAATATTTCCCTTTCTGTCTTTGTGACTAATACAAATATTTTAATCATTTTATTACTTGTCTTTCTAATTGTAACTCAGATGTACAGTTTTCCATGTTTTGAAGTGCTAAGAGTCTGTCTGAAAAGGTAACTATTGTTTTTCCAGAGTCCTGTTCCTCATATCATGGTAGTAGTATGGGAGATGATGATATTAACGTGTGGTCAGGAGCAACGGATGAAGGACTACTGAGCCAGCATCTTGCAGAAAGTGGAGTGGAAATAGATCCTGAAAATGAAGAACTTGTTCTCAATATTAGTTCTCGACTACAAGCAGCTGTTGAAAAGCTTCTGGAAGCTATCAGTGAAACTTCTAATCAGGTAGGGTGATCTAATAGTGAAGCATTTTGAATTTTAAGTCTTTATTTTTTATTTTTTTTTTTTAATTTTTCTTGTGAATGTGTTTTCATAAGCCTAAAACCTGTAGGCTTGTTTTGAAAGCTGAAACAATACTTCAGTTGCCTACCCTCAGAAAAGTGTTCCAGCATGACTTTACTGATGAATTTAGATTTGTGTTAGAGATCTGCTTTGGACTGCAGAGGAAGCCTGAGTTTGGGCGTGTTTATCAATCTAGGGCACTCTTTCATTGCTCATACGGGTCATCTGCGTTTTACTGCAATACAGAGATGAGACAGGAGGTGTCAGGGCACATTGAGCTGGCCCTTGTGAAGAGGGAGGATTAAGGGGAACTGTGCCCGGTTCTCTTGACAAGCATGTTAGCCAACTGACTGGCCAAAAAGGTGGAGCTCTCCTACTGTCTCTTCCAGCTGATTTAAACATGGCCAGTTAAGCACATACCCACCTTGCTATCAGAAAAGGAGCCTGCACTCCAGCTTTCCTGTATTTACGGTGAGGTATGTGATTCATGAATAGTCCAGAAAAGGAGCAGTTTATGACTGCCCCTTTCTGTTTGCTGTTGGGGTACTTTGCATGGTGAGATGTTGCTCTCTGGAGTACTTCCCTGTTAATTGAAATGGAAGCCATATACCTAGCTGAGTCACTTCAAATCAGACTGCTTACGTCGTGTCCTTTACTTTTAGATTATGTACATCTCAATTTGAAGGTATCAGAGTAAATACTCTGTGTCTTGCTTAACTTCTTAAGCTCTCTTGAAGAACTCAGTCTTTAGAGTCAACTCTTGAAGCTATTTGGGACTAGAATTCAAAGGATACCGTGTGTTTTATGCTACAGACCCGTCTATTAGTTGACCTAGTAATGATATTACTTAAAAAGTGATTGCTTTCTTGTCTGTAGATGTAAAATGTGTAAATCGTAACTAATGAAAATGAAGGAGAAAAAAATCTGTGATGAAAGTAATATGAAAATTCAGCTGTCTAATACTTCAGAAGTTTTAATCATTTAAGTATTTGTTGCTTTTGAAAAATAATTCAAACATGAAGCTGATACTCTTTTTAAAAAAAAAATAGGATAAAAGACTAATTTGTGAATAACTAAAGTTAAAAGTAATATAAATACAAATTCAGTGAACTCTCATCTGGCTTACTAAAGCAAGGAGTCTGGTGGTTCTTGTAAGTCAGTTTCTGCATTGTCTTTATTTGCAAACTCATTCTGCAACAGCTGTCTTCGGTTTGAGCATGAGTTCAGTTAAAAAGAGATGTTTGGCTTTTTGAGGCCTTTTCAGCTTAAGGCCTAGCATTACATAATAATGAAAAAGATACTGCAATATGTGAAGTTCTTAAGAGAACTGTATTTAGGCATTTGTAGGAAAACTTGCATTTAAAGAGTAAATAACACAGACAAAAACAACTTCAAAGTTTTACAGTAATTAAGACTGCAATTATAAAAGTATTGTCAATTATGTATTCTACTTGGTGCTTCCTTTTTTCTGAACATTTCACTGCTCATCTTTAAATGCAGAAGTTTTATATATACCCCTAAATTATTTTAATTTTGTAACTCATATTTTTACAGTAAGTATTTACTTTTCATGATGCCAGTGAAAGTACTCAAGTGTATTCTAAGCAGCTTATTTTTATTTATTATCAATTGATGAAGAAAATTTATTTTCCCTTCATAGCTTTGTAGCTGAGACCTTGCCAATACCATCAACAGAGTTATGTTTTGGCTCAGACACATACACACACATTTTTTTCATTAATATGCATTATACAAATAGAGATTTATCCCTGATGATTGTATCTGTTTTTTTTAAAGTTAATAAATGTTAATATGTTTACACATTTTCCCACAGTATTAAGTATAAATATTGACATCTTTTCTGGCTGTTCTGTAGAGTTGTTTTGCAAGTGTTAAAGCTTGTCTGCTTTGCAATGTCTGTTGTATGTTTACTGGATTATATAGAGTTCCTGTATATACAAAGAGTTTGTAGGTGACTTGGCAATTATTTTTAAATATTCAGAAGGTGAATACTTCGGGGTTTTTCTACTCTGCAATATTTTATAATCTAAAACTAATTAAGAGCAGAAAAGATTTTAACCTTTCCTCTTAATCAGTTGTGTTTTGCATACAGATGTACCCATCTCTTTAAATAAACTTAAAAGAGTGAGAGAAACCTGGCAAAATCTTCAAAGTAACTATTTGAGACCTGTCTGAACACACATTTTCAGACCTGAAATGCAGTTTGAATCTTTTCAGGCAAGGCATATAGTGGGTGTATCAATTCAAATTCCACCTGCTGGTGTTATGTATAGGTAAATAAATCAGGCCACTCCCCTGAACTCTTTTGGTTGCGAGATACTAACAGGAAGACTTTAAACTAGCAGAGTTTGAGAAGTTCTTCCTGTTGAATTAACTCCAAGAACAAGAATGAAGGCAAATAACGACATACGTGTATTTCTCTTTCATTTGCCATAATGGAGAATAATTTTTTAGTTTCTGTTCTGCTAGCTTGTTTGTCTGCTGCAGTGTACCTGTGCAGATAAAACAAAATTATGCTTCCTTGCCTTGGAAATTACCTGCCAGCTGCTATTGGAAGATTTCTGTTACTTTTTCACATAAAACCTCTCTAATAAGGATTTTTAGAAGTGACCATATGAAGTTTTCTTGCACCTCTCTCTCTTTTGGATTAATCTGCTTCTGAATTACTCCATTTGAGGATGTGATCTGAGGCTTCCTGCTGATTCTGAGTAGATTTGTCACCAACAGTGCTGATATGTGCATTCAGACTGTTAAATATGCATGCTTCATTACAAATTGCTGTTAGAAGTTAAAACTAGCCTAGCTAGTGCCAAATACCCATGTGACGGTTCAGAAGACAGCAACGGTGATTTTTTTTGGAATGGATTCTTACCGTACTTACTGGGCATCTAATCTGTTTAGTGGTTTGTGGACTGAAGGCCAAGAAGAAGATACATACGAGATTGAATCTCGTGTGCCTTTACCATATCCTTTTCCTTTTCCTGAGCACTTGGATGAGAGTAATTCTGTAGTTGTAAATACTTCAATTTTCCACTTCAGTCACAAAAAAAATGGGCACATTTTAAAAGTTGTCTCTAAAATCTCCTTGCCTACACCTCCCTATTCAGTAAGTATGGAAGATTTTAAAAGAAATTGTATTTTAAACCAGCTTAAGTAGAAGAAAATGCAGTGGAAAAGTATATACACTTGTCTCTATTGTTAAAGTTATTATGTACTGCTGACAGGTTTTTTCTTAGCTTCTAATGGGCACTGAGGAGCTTTAATTAGACAATTCTCAATGTTCATTTCTAAGAAAAAAAATTTAGCAGACACAGAACTGTATTGAATTACAGAGATTTGAGATCTCGTTTTAAAGCATTTCAGTGTTACTTATTATATTACATTTTTCTCACTGTGAATAATTTACATTGAGGGGCGGGGCTGCATTCAGTTTAAATTGTTCCTTTATAGCTTTCATGCACTGACTAACAGTGTTAACTAGCACAAGCTTGCTAATGGCTTCTAGTAATCCCATGAAGAAATTTTTGTCTTGAAAAATCATGTTCGTATTTGTGCTTCTTTTTGGTTTTGCCCTATGATATTTTTAATAATTCCTTAAGTTCTTGAAAAGAGCTGGAGAATGTTTTTTATTCTGAGTTTTACTTGGAGTATTTGATGCACTTAAGTAATTTTTATGGTTGTCTATGTACATTAAACCTATCATATATTTTCTTTATCTGAGATGGGTCTTTCATTAAGTACTTCAAAATGTAAGAATAAAGTAAGAATACTCTGTGATTTTTTGAAGTATCTCAAACCAGTGCAGATATTCAGGTGCAGTATTTAAACCTTTCTTTAACCTCCTGTCAGGATAACTAGTTCATGTTAATGGTGTCCATCTAAAAATGAATGCTGTAGAAATCAGGTATTCTAAATATGAATGTTCTGACTATTCAGACATTCTTTTCAAAGTGTAATTTTAAGTGGATAATTCTGTGTGCAATATTCTACAGAATATTCCTAGCCCATTTTTCTGAGATTTGAAAGCAAGCTAATCACACTCCTGAACTTAACTAGCAATGGTGAGAAATCTTTTCTTTTTGAAGAACTTGAAATAAACAACATGTAACCATAGCAAAGCCACATATGTTTCCATCTTACAAATATCTGCCAATATCCTTAATATTAAAAAGGAAAAGAAAGGGAAAAAAAGGGAGAGGAGCAGGGATTATGTCTTCTTTCATTTTCTGACTTTGTTCTTATTCAAAATAAATTGTCTTATTTTGAATACAAGCCATACAAAGAACTCATGCCTGGTTCAGCTCTGTCAATTTGTATGTAATTGTCCATCAAAGAGGTAGATGTAGGCTGTAAAAGTTAACAGTTGAGAAGTAGAAATATTTCTGTTAATTGACTCCAGTTTGCTGTTATCTTAGATGAACATTTTGTGTCATCAAAACTTCTAACATTAGAGTAACGCTTCTTCTTTACTATTTGGCTTTTGTAATTCTAATTTTAATTCTTTTTGAAATTGTTGCTTTGGGTATGTCTGAACTGGACTGTAAGTATACAATTCTGTGCATTTCAGTCCTGGTTTTCCAGTAGTTTAGGATAGGCACATAGTGTGATTGTACTGCATGTGTGGTAGTACACATTAAATATTAACTCATCAGAGAAGTAGAGAAGAATAAAAGAATGCTTTATAATTCTGTTTGGTGGATACAGATGCAAGAAGCATTGCCTTACTATCTTGTTGGTTGAAAAGTGCAATATATTCAAAATTCACATTTTCCTGATGTTCTTATTTATCTTCATCTTAAGGAGAAAAAGAGATGAAGCACCACTTGTGTCAGTTTTACGAAGTGTTTTATAGCCATTCTGAGTATATGGTGGGTGATAGCTTACTCGTATTTAGTACAAAACTCAAATGTAAATAAAGGTGAATCTACTGTAAACTCATAAACCAGAAATTACTGGAACAAAGATACGGATTTAGACAGGTGGTCCATTGAGTTCACTGTACTGACAAAGCCTATATGCTTAGACTTTTGTACTGAGTCAGTCTTCTATTGTAGTCTGCAAATGTGTCTTCAGTAAAGATCTTATCGAATGTCCAGTGAATTATGTGAGACTTCTCATCACACTTTAAAGCAACTGTTAATTAAATAGGGATAATAGTATAGTTATTTATGAGAAAACCTTTGGTATATCTAACTTCTGTGATTTTTTTCCTATTGCAGCTTGAACATGCTAAAATTACTCAGACAGAACTCATGCGAGAGTCTTTCAAAAAGCAACAAGAAGCCACAGAATTTATCAAGTATCAGGAAGAACTACAAGAGCGTCTTAATGAGGAAACCAAAGCCAGAGAGCAGTTGGCTTTGGAGCTTAGTAAAGCTGAAGGTAAGTAGCTTTTTTGATGGGTCATTGAAAACTGCACTCACCTATTAATTGGGTAAAGAAATTGCAAATTAGATCAGTTTCTTCGCAAATTTTAGAATTCAGCTTTCTGGATAGTTATGGGCAAGATGACCTTCAGAGGTCCCTGTCCACATCAGTCACTGTTTCCCAACTTTGTCTCACTTATTATTGTCTGACATTAAAAATAATAGGTTGTATATGTGTTATTATACTCAAAATACATTTATTTCATCATAATATCTTTGTGCAGACAAGCTTAAATATTAACAGCTTAGAATTGTAGAATCATAAATAGTTGAGACCGGAAGGCACCTCTGAGATCATCTATTCCAACCTCCTGCTCAGAGCGGGGCTGGGTAGAGCAGGTTGCACAGGACTGTATCCAGTCAAGTTTTGAATGTCTGCAACATCTCTGGGAAGCCATTTCCAGTGCTTGACCACCATTGAAGAGGGAAAAGAAAAAAATAAATATTTTTTTGTATGTTGAAATGAAGTTTCCTGTATTTCAATTTGTGCCTGCTGCCTCATGACCTTGACTTAGTTCCACACAAACATAGATAAAAAATGTAGAACCTTCACTCTGAATTTGATGGTGGTGATATGTTTCGATTTGCACTCTGAAATTATTTTTTTTAAGTATATTTGCAACTGCATTATGGAAGCAATTAAAAATTGTAGGGTGTTACAGCAGGGGAAATCTAATAATCTTTCCTGACATCAGGAAAATATGTTCAAATCTGACAGACACTTAATTTGTTCTTTAGAAGTAGCTTTATTGCTTCAATAGCTGAATGTTTTATTTCCACCCAGCATTTCTACTATTATATGTTTGTAATTGGCATCTGGAAAAAATGCAAAAAACACCTATGCTATAGGTAGGATCTCTGTAGTAGTAAGCAGACATATTTTAGTTAGTTCAGAAGCTCAGCAGACTTCTCTGTTTCAAAGTGGAAGTGTGAAGTTTCACAGGCAAATGTTATTCGTGGAGAACGCTACTCTGCCACCGTTCCTCCTCTTTTTACATAGAGTGATAATCAAACATGTATTCACCATTAATAGCTGGGACACACATAACCTGAAAAGAACTAAGTGCAGGTTTCTAAGCCATGTGTCTAAAATACGGTGTGAAGGACAGCTGGTAGCCTGTCAGTTCACACAGCATAAATGTTGTGTGTCATCAGCACTAGTACTAGCTGCAGCATTTCAATAGCTTTAGCAAAACTATAAAGGAGGAAAATTAATTTCAGAGGGAATAGAATCAAATCTGAAAGAGGCATTATTACTATTTTTTAATATTAAATTAAGAGTGTAAAATCTTGCATGGAAAACATCTTAATATGCAAAAAAGAGTAAATCATCCACCAAAGTATAGATGGCCTAAGAATTCATATTCTTGCACAGATGGAGTTAGAAAACTGTTTAGTCTTGATGAGTTTCAGAATGTAAGCAGCTTTTATGTCTGTTGTTGCTTTTCTTGGATAATATTTTTGTCTTGATAGAATATTTATTCACAAATCTTCAATAATAAAGTAAAATAGACTAATACATTAGGACAAAGCAGAGAATTTAGTATTAAGTTTTACTTAAAGGTAGAAATCTGTCATAATGTCAGCTGTCTGCATAGGTTTTAATTCTACAAGTAGCATTTTAAAAAAGTACTAGAGACTCATTTATTAAATGAATGTTTTTATTACGAACTTATCTCTGTTGCTTTGCGTTCTTGATCTGTATCTTTTTGGCTTAGTCAGGTTCTCCACTAAGAACTACAAGCTTGCCTTTTCATTTACTATAAATAGATTTGCATTTGTGCAGGGCTCTATTGCAAAGAGTGCATGCATAACTATTTGAAGATGACATCCCACAGAACAAGATCTGCTTATTATCCCGTTTCTGTTTTCATATTTTTATCCTGTTACCATCAGACAAGCAAAAACTCTTAAGATTGACTAGGTGGTTCTCTTGAGCAACACACTTCTGTTATAAAATTAGTTTGTGCAAACAAACTAATAGCAGGAAAGAAACTCCAAATTCTTACTATATAGATGCCAATTTGTAGATAATAGGACTGCCCATATGTAAATTAAGGCAAAATTTAACTGTAAAATTTTATTAAATACTTGAAATATTCCATCAGAGCCTGGTTTGGAGATATAACAGATAAGTCAAGTTTTTATTTTTTGCTAGCAAAGAAAGTATATTAAATACAAAAATCCAGCGAGAGTTATGAAGCTAGGTTTTTCACTCTGGATTTTATCTGGTAATTTTTTATTCGGGGAAAAAAACCTTGGAAGTATATGAAGTTAAAGCAATCTTCAGAAATTTTTAACTGGAATTTAATTTTAATCAGAGCAATAGCAATATCAATTTATAAGGCTTGGCAGATATAAGACTTGGTGTTGATATAACAAAGCAAAAGTTCTGTAAACTCTTTATTTAATTTTTTCTGCTCATTGAACTGAGTTGTGAGTGTACTTTGACAAAGCCAAACTACATTCTTTTATCAAATTTCTTAGATAGGTATGCAGAACAATGTCTTAGTTCATTATACATCTGATGGTACTCTGTCTTCTCCTGAGATAAAATGTGTCATTTTTGATCATTTTTCCTTCTTACACAAAAACTGCTGCAGCTGAGACATTTTCAAACTTCTTGTGTTTTAGTGGTGTCAGATATGACTTATCTAATGTGATAGAAGAACTAATGCCAATTTGTTCACTGAACTCTGACAACTTTCATTACATCTCTTAAAAAAAAAAAAAAAGGCAGGAGTAAACACCACAACACATCATCTTAGCAGACGACTACTTCATTGTTCATACCTTTTTGGTGGGGGTGTGCACTCCATTTAGCCTGGGAATGCCCTCTCAACTTCTAATCTAAGTACTCATTGTGAACAGCGTCTGATACAGTGGGAATAACTACTAGAATTTGTATTGTCTGAAATGTTTGAAATGCTGTTAATGAGATTTCTAGTTCAGTAGGTTTTGTTTCAACATCCAGTCCCTCTGTGGCTATGTTCTCTGTGAATTCAAGTCTGGAAAAAAAGATTGGTCGGCAGTGCATGATTGATATGCATGAGGACCAGACCTGTGTTTCTCAGACTGTATATGCGAAGACCGCTGTTACTCAATTTCCTCTGATACAGAACTAAGTGCTCACAGAGGTTTGACTTTGTCTACAAATGGAAACATCTTTAGTTTTCTTATATTCTCAAGCCAGGGTATAATCCATTTTAATACTAACTCAAAAAATATAGATTTATACTGACAAAGTTCTTTCATATTGAAAATGGTTTGATATTGAAAAAACAGTACTTACATTTTTGTGGGTTTAGTAGGAAGAAAACTGTGACCTATCATAGATGTGTGTCTGAGAAAGTGGACATCATATCACTGATGTCCTATTTGTCTTTTGAAACCATTGGTATCCAACATGACAGAACACACCTTACCATGGAAGTCTGGAATATACCTATCTAGTACCTTATGTCACTCAATAAAAATATCTTCTGTGTTCTGTGATCAGATATTTCTGAAAGCACTGATGGGAAACTTCTGAAGCCAATACCATTACAGGATCTCAGTTTAGTTTGTACAGCCCTCAAGGAAATTGACTGTTTCTTCCTAAGTCTTTAGCTTTGTGCTCACTTCTGCATCATCCCAAGATGGTGCCATTTCTTACGTCTGTAATATCATTCATAAAGCTAAAAGAGCTCCCCCTCAGTCTCCTAGATAAACTACTTGACCATGAAGCAATTTTTAAAAGCATACAAGACATATTCTCAAGGTAGTGTCCCAAATTCTCTGTGAAAAAGATCATTAATTGTTTTGTACTACTTTACAAATTGTGCATTAATAGTAAAGAAATTGAATTGTTTCTTAGATGTCAGGTGTTACAGGGATTTTGGGAGAGATTCAGGTGCTAAACATGGACACCTGTGGCCAGTTTTGGTACCTTATGATGTTGGAGGCATCTGTATTATACCTGACCTACAGGAGACCCATGATCTTACAAAAGCTGTGGTTTGAGGTCAGACAAATGTCTTGAGGCACCTAAAATAGCATCCGAACTTATTTGAAATGGCACCTGAATTTATTTGAAATTTCTTGTTTCTTCTGTGTCTATTACACGCTTCTCTTTCCTTGGCTTTGGAGTTCCTATTTGCTCCAGAGGTCTTGCACTGAGGAAAAATTAAGAGCTATATTTGGTCTTGTGCTATCCTTCCTGTAATTTGTTCATCATGGAAAAATAACAAGGACAGCAGTAGAAGTTGTCAGATGCTCAGTATCTAACATGCATGTGCATTCGTGTGAGAATACTATAGTGACTTGACCATACAAAAGAATTCAAATTGTTTTTTATTGTCTATTATATCTGCCCCAAAATTGATGTTCTACAGGCCTCATTGATGGTTATGCAGATGAAAAAGCATTTCTGGAAAAACAACTCCAGGAAAAAATAGATGTAATTGACCATCTTGAGCAAGAACTACTGTGTACAGGTAACAAATTGCAGGAGTTAGAGGCTGAACAGCAGCAGATCCAGGAAGAAAAGGAGTTGCTCTCCAGACAGAAGGACGCCATGAGAGCAGATGCGGGGCCAGTAGAGCAGCGTATGTATTCATCACAATCTTTCTATGAGATTTTCTTAAACTTTCAAATAAAATAAATAGTCTTGGTGAATGCTTCCCCACCCATCCTTGTAATCATTAATACAAATGTGATAGGGGAAAATGTGATCTTTTCATACCTGATGTCTAATGTTAGCATGGTAAATTTTCATTATATTTAAACAAAAAATGACTTAATTTTCAGAAGTGTTGAGCAATCACAGTTGTTCTTTAAGCCAGTAAAAGCTCAATACCTGGAAAATCTACTTTTATTATCACTAGAGATGGAATATCTTGAAGTTAGCACCTATGGATAAAATACTGGTCTAAATACTTTCCAGAGTTTTAGAGGGACAATCAAACATAGCTAGAACAGAAACAAAACCAGAACATGACTGAACTACACATGATGGCCATACTTATTTTAGACACAGAAGATACACTTTTATAACAAATTCCTCCCTTGGAATTGCACAAAGTTGGGTGATAAGGAAAGCCTGTTATCTACCAATAATGAAAACTTGCAGCACTGATGGTGAAAATTTCAGATAAATACCATGTCCATGTAATCTGACTAACCACTTACTCAAAAAAAGCATTTACCTTCATGAAGGAAATGTATCTTTTCTTCCTTAAACAAGTAACTTAATATTTTATGTTTGAGAGGGGAAGAAAGTTATAATAGTGGTATTTTAAGACTTACTGATCTTTCAAGTATTGCAAGTGCAAAGTTACAGTATAACATTGTAAGGATGAAATTACCATTTAATTTCTAAAAGTTTATGGCAATTTATAATGTTGCTAATTTTATAAATTACTCATCTTGATGCATATTTGCAATTTCCTACGTCCACTTTGTGTAACAATGAAATTTTAAGAGCAGCCTGTTGTTTCCAACTTGATAGTAAAGGAGATTCTTGTCTGTGACTCCAGTTTAGTTATTTGTTATATGTTTTAGGTTTCTAGATATTTTAAAGTTACTTTCATGTATAACAACTTTAAGCATAGTCAATTCTATAAATATGTGTAGGTATTTATATCATGCATACCAAAATAACTTACCTCATTCCCTAAGTTATCTCAACAGCTTTGTCATTAAATGCCACATCTACCTTTGGCTTCATTTTCTCTTACATTATTGCACCACAAGAAAACTATAGCTGGCATGTGAATTACTTTGCTTCTTTTTTTGTTTTTTCTCTCTCTCTCTATTCTCCTAGGCCTAGTAGATGCTGCAGTCGATGCAGCTTCCCAAGCAGGTGTGTTTGTATGTTGCATGGCCAATCTGTAACTGGGTGGAAGACTTACACGTACTGACATTGTTAATCAGGATTATTGGGCTTTTGGCTTACTGACATTACTTGTAATTCTTACTGGCCTGCAGCTTTGATGTTGTATTTCATACTCAGTTTTACATTTCGCTAACAACATTTCTTATAATTTCTAAACATAATGAGCAAATTCATGAATAACCATCATCTTATTCACCTATGAATTACAGATACATAGATCGTATTGGAGGGATATTTTTGTAGCTTTTTTTTTCTTTTTTATTTCCAAAGACAGTTGAGTCATTCATTATGATAACTAAAGACTGTATTATATTGATATTATCTAGAAATGAGAATTGGTTAAATATGATGTAAGATGATGGTGCCTAAAGGATCTTTCTTCTATAGTGAAAGTAAATTGCATTGTTTCTGTCTAAATATCAATCATGTTTTAAAGATTCTCCAAATGTAATTGCAATTTACAGTTTGGATTTTACCTCAAAGGATGCGTACGGTTAGTTAATATATACTTCAGTGGGCTGTGGCTTAAGAGTCTTAATAGAGTGGTTTGGGGCTTTACTATATATGCATGTCAGTCTTTTCATGAGGTCTCAAAATTGGGCATCCATGCAGTCACTGATTTTACAAAGCTCCAGTTACAGGTCAGTAATTTCCCTGTCTGCCTGGCAACCTCGCTAAGTCTTTCAATATTTCCTTCAAATTATTTATATGTATCACATTAAAGATGAAGACTGGGAGTGGATGGGTTTTACTGAAGCTGGGGATGAGAAGAGGGTTGGGTTTTCTGTACTTCATTGTTAAGCCCTGTGCTGATTCTAGCTGTGGTTTGAACCCATGCATTTTATTTTATTTTCAGTTATACATAGACTTTTTAATTTACATGAAACTTAAACAGGGAAGTGATCTGATACAACTTCACTAACAGTCCTCTGAAGACTAACTAAAGGATAGTCATTTTATTATGAATTTGCTGTAGTGGTTATCTTGATTGTTTTTCAGTAGAAAACCCATTTTCTAAAAAAGAAAAATAGTAAAAACCCAAACCAGTTCACATCCTTCTGCAGAATACAGCATGGATACCTTGGGGAGTGGTTTTGCTTCATAACATTACTAACTATTCATATCTAAAAGTAGTGTGTGATGCTTTTATTGTAACCAGAATTGCTGGAGGAAACAGAAAAGCTAATGAAAGAAAAAATTGAAGTACAGCGTCAAGCTGAAAAAGAGTATGATGACCTTCAGAAGCAAGTGAAAGTCTTGGAAATAGACCTGGAAGAACAGGTCAATCGGTTCATAGAACTAGAGCAAGAAAAAAATGCAGAACTAATGGACTTAAGGCAGCAAAACCAGGCTTTGGAGAAGCAACTTGAGAAAACAAGAAAATTTCTAGATGTAAGTATGGTGAAAGGCTAGTTTCATGAATGTGGGTGGGCACCTGTACTGAGTTTAGTTCAGCAGGCAATGCTATTTTTTTCATATTTAGAGCAAACATAAAGAAGTACATGATAGGAACAGTGTTTAGATTTCAGCCCAAGAATTTAATTAACATTTTAAAAGTTAAAAATTCATTTGAGATGGTTGCTTAAGACTACTCAGTATTTCTAATTTAGTAAGCTTCTCAAATGTTTAAAATAATGGGAAACTTCTGACATTAATGAGGAAACATTTTTGTGAACGTTTTGTTGTAGTTGTTGTTCTAGATTGTGGAATTTCCATGTTTTTCAGTAAAGTCTGTTAGAATTAATCTAAAGTCTGTGCAAGGTCCTGCACCTCAGCTGGGGAAACCCCTGGTATCAATATAGACTGGAGGATGCATGGATTGAGAGCAGCCCTACAGAGAAGGACTTGGGGGTGCTGGTGGATGAAAAGCTGGACATGAGCTGATAATGTCCATTCACAGCCCAGCAAGCCAACTGTATCCTGGGCTGCATCAAGACAAGTGTGGCCAGCAGGTTGAGGGACGGGATTGTCCCCCTCTACTCTGCTCCGGTGGAACCCCACCTGGAGTGCTGTGTCCAGCTCTGGGGCCCCCAACATAAGAAGGACATGGACCTGCTCGAGTGAGTCCGGAGGAGTCCACAAAAGTGATTGGGGGCTTGGAGCACCTCCCTTTGGAGGACAGGCTGAGAGAGCTGGAGTTGTTCAGCAGGAAGAAGAGAAGGCTCCAGGGAAGCCTTTCAGTACTTAAAGGGCGATTATAAGAAAAATAGGAACAAACTTTTTAGCAGGGCCTGTTGCCATAGGACGAGGGGTAATGGTTTTAAACTGAAAGAGGATAGACTTGGATCAGCTATAGGGAAGAAGTTCCTCACTGTGAGGGCAGTAAGATGCTAGAACAGGTTGCCCGGGGAGGTGGTAGATGCCCCATCCCTAGAAGCATTCAAGGTCAAGTTGGATGGGGCTCTGAGCAACGTGATCAACCTAGTTGAAGATTGACTAGATGACCTTTAAATGTCTCTTCCAACCCAAATTACTCTGTGATTCGATGCATTAAGTAGTCAGCTTTATTTGTACTTGGAAATTGAAAACATAATTTCTCTAAGCTTCTTTTATAGTCTTCCTTTATAGTCTCCAATAATCTACCTCCAGATAATAAGCTACACCTTCCACACAGTTATGTTACATGTGTATTTGTCCCCATTCACAGTGGCAGCTGCCTCTGTTGTACCCAACTTCTTCCTGACTCAGGCTGTCTCTGCAATTTTTGGACTTTACCACATTTTCAGCAAACACAATCTTCCTCACCACCACCTTCTCCTGTTTTATTCCTTTTATGTGTCCTATACTGCTGCTGAAAGAAAACTGTTATTTCTGTGCTTTCTCAGTTAACTTTCCAGATGACAGCAGTAGGGTGGAATAATTTTTTACATAGTAAATACAAAACCTTGTGGCACTTTGTCTGCATAATTTATTACTAAACAGTATTAAAGGAGAGATCTTTAGATCTTTCCAGATACTTCATAGCACAAATCGATTTGCTTTATTTCATTTTCTACAGTTACAAGATTATTTTTCTCACTGAAAGTAGTGTGTCGTAATAGGACAAAGTTCAGACATAAAAATTCCTATTACAAATTCCATAGTCATAAATGCATTATGGTTTGGGATTATCAGTAGCATGAACTGGAGAGTTACAGACTACTGAGATAAGTAGCTGTGTAACTAGCATTAGAATTCTGCTGTTTCCTTGAAACAACAGGTGAGTTTGTAAACAGATGCAGCTTGTAAAGGTTGAGGTTTTATTCTGGTTTCCTGAATTTTTGTAAAATATTTTGTTGCTAGACAGAAACATTCCTCATTGTATTGGATAATTCAGCTAGTTTATTTAATGCATCTGATAAGGTTTTCTGTTTTACAAAGTGGCATTTGAAGGTGATGCTTTCACTTGATGCTACCAGTTGCACATTATTTCCTATATAAAGATGTATAATAACCAAAACTGGTCAAAAGTAAAACTGAAATGCAAAATTCAACAATTTATAAGTTGTTTTAGTGGGGTTTTTTTGCTGTTGACTCAACAAAATTAGCGCAGAGTTAATTTCTCAGTTTCTATTTATGCTACATATGTTAAAGACAAACATTAGGAAAGAAGATCATGAAATATTGGTCTGTTAGCATTTGTGTGGTGTACCTGAAACAGAAGAAACAAACCCATCATTTTTCTGAAATAATACTGGATCTATGCTGTTCTAATTTTTAATAAAAAGGAATGTGAAATTTGTTGCCTTAAAGGATGAAAGAAGTTTTTGTTAATAGTAGCTTCAAGGGGTTCTGCTACCTTAAAAATACTGGCATACTCTTACTGGCCTCACATTAAGGGAAATAAGTAGTAATATACTTAATTTAGATAGTTTATAAATCAAATGGTGTATCTGTATAATTTCTTAACTTTCAGGAGCAAGCAATTGACCGAGAGCATGAGAGAGATGTATTCCAGCAAGAGATACAGAAGCTGGAACAACAGCTTAAGATTCCCCAAAGGAGTCAGCCTGTTAATGAACATCAAACCAGAGAGGTAACACATTTTACTACTTGTACTCAATGAATGTAAATGACAACTTGACAGCTGCTAAGATATTATAATGAAGCTATTTAATAGTGTACCTAACCTGCATCCATTTACAAAGCAGGAAGGAAAGTAAATCCCCTTAAATGAAGGGTCAGGTGTTGAGGCAAAGTGGTGAAACTGGTTTGGGGCTTTTTAGGCTGATTGGTTGTAATATATTGCATATTTTTAGGCTTGTTGGTTGTATATATTGTATAATGTATAGCAGTGAAAATGCTATATATTATGAAGCTTTTGCATGTTTTGTTTGATGACCTGTTAGTCAATTAAATTACACTTTATTTTTTGTAGGTTTTCTTGTGTCCTGCTTCTTGAGTAAGACTGGTATTTTTGCATTATTTTCTTGCCTGATTTTCGGTATTAAAATATCTCTTAGGTTGCACTGTGATTTTTCAAATCAAAATTCTTAACTGAAGTAGTTCAGTTTCTGTAATTCAATTATTAAATATTAGCAATATTTAGTATTCTATGTTATATGCTTTAGGACTGTAGACAGTAATAGGACATAAATTGATATATGTGAGATATAAGTTGCCAAAATATTTACTTACAATTCACAGATTTAGAGGTGTATTTAATTTTTAAAATACATTTTAATAGAAAGGTTTGTAAGAAATCTTACAGTCAAAGTATTTAGTCAGTACTATGTGATATGGCTGTTATCAGCCTCTGTGAACAATGAATCTTCTGGAATTAGCTGGGGATGTGTTAACCAACACATACAAAGAAATTCTGCATCTATTTCTTTCTATCTCCAAGTCTGTGCATACTCCTCGCCTGTTGACATGTTCCACAGATGGGGGAGACTTTTTAGCATGATTAGTTTTCCTGAATCCAGCATGTTCATTTTGAGTTAATTTTGTTATGTGCCTGTTTATAGTTTGGGGCATGAGTAGTGTGTGAATTCCCGGTTAAAATTCTCTCTTTTAAAAAAAAATAAATTCTCCCCCTCCCAAATTTCAAATTTGATAGCATAATAAAAATTGCCCTATTTTTCTGTACAGAATATATATATGTAAAAATTGTCCTGGTTTATATGCACATACACACATGCATGTATAGTCTTAAGTTGACAGATAGGCTACAATGGAAGTTTTAAAGCAGGCTGTAACTGACTAAAATTTTGAGATTTATATTAGATGCTTTTAAATTAGAATTTTTTAGTAGGTAGAAAGATAGATAATAAAATTGTCTGCCACCAGCACAGGTGTAGCAGCTGTTTTAGAGCTGGGTGGTGTCAATGTGATACATTACAAATTATAGAAAGAATTTTCAATAGTTTATTAGATTTACATTTAATTTCTATCAAATGAAGCACATAGTCTTACTCTATATAGTATATTTTGATATCACAATATTACTTGGAATATTTCATAAATATACATTTTATCATTATTTCTCATGCTTTTCTGAGATAGCTGCTTTATTTTTTCATAGTTGCACGGGTTTTTTTAATGCTCTTTTGCTTTGCAATGAGCAATTTCTGTTGATAACTTAGTTTCTTTTTTACTATTGTTTCAGCTTACTGTGTCAACTTACTCCCCGGAGAGTTGTCGTAAAGAGTCTGCTCTAGACTTGATTTTTCTTTTTTCATTTCTCTCCCAGGACTTTTCTGTAGTCACTTCAGACTTTGATGTTACTCATGGATGGATAATGTCAGTAATACCATCCTGTCAGCTTTACGTTCTGGTCCTTTTCTCTCCTATCTATTGAAATGCTTTGAATCTTCTACCTTTAGGCATTAGGCCTAATACCATCAATTTGTTACACATATTTCTTAACTGTAAATTTTATTAATAATTTCTGACAAACTTTTAGAACTGTGATCCATTCCTATCTTTACTACTTCAGTTACTTTTTTAATATGTTGTTTCTGAACTACTGACATTCAGAATGCTTTGTCACAGATTTTTAGAACTATGATATACCTCAAAGTTGCAAATAGCATATTGACCTTAGGGTCAAGACATTTCATCCATAGATGCTAAAGGTGTCCTTTTAGTGGGCTGCGTAGGGATGCCATGCTACTTGCTTTTAACTGACTAGTGAATCTGAAGGCTTCAGAAAGTCAAGGTCAGTTTTAGAGAGCAGGTGATGTAGCACAGAATATATGACTATTTAAAAATGCTGTTTGTATTTGTTGGATATACCACTACAGTGTTCTGACTTTACATTCTGTTTCACCTAAAGTGTAGGAGTTGGGTTATGAGAAAAATTGAGGAATATTTCTGCTCTATCAAAAATGAGTGCTGTTGCTATTGCTAGCAAACCCTTCCAATCTAGTACAATATATTCATCTTCCTGCCGTATTGTCACCAGGTTGAACAGTTAACAAATCATCTGAAAGAAAAAACAGACAAATGCAGTGAGCTTTTGCTCTCTAAGGAGCAACTTCAGAGAGATATACAAGAACGAAATGAAGAAATTGAGAAACTGGAATGCAGGATCAGAGAACTGGAACAAGCCTTAATCATCAGTGCAGACAACTTGCAAAAGGTATTGCTTGGTCTAAAATTATCGTGTATTTACTACTTTCTTATTTTCTTGAGAACAAAAGAGTATATCTTTTTTATTTGTTTATTAATAATATTTATACTTAAAGGTGGAGGAAAGGAAACAGTTTGGCACCATCATAGTAAAGGGAGAATTACCTCTTGAAGTACAACTGCAAGCTGAGCGAGAAGCTGTGGACAGAAAGGAAAAGGAGGTAAAATACTAGTGAAATGTTCAGTGTTTTCACTGATACTTTGGTTTGTCAGTTTTTGCTTTCTGTTGAGTTTGAACTTACACAGATGAAATTTTTTAACAGATCAGAGATGGCAATCCAAATACCTTTGAAATTCTCTTGTGAGCCATGATAATTGTTGTTACTGTCTATGTTAATGCTTATAACTTACAAGAGACTTTGGGGAATCAAAATTCAGCCCAATTAAGAAAAACTTCATAGTGATTTCAGGTGATATTAGTGGGTTTTAAAATTCCATTCAGTTTAAGGACTTAGAATGTCACTCAGTACACATTCATATCATATAGTCATAGAATGGTTTGGCTTGGAAGGGACCTTAAATATCATCTTGTTCCAACCCCCCTGCCATGGGCAGGGACACCTCCCACTAGCCCAGGTTGCTCAAAGCCCCGTCCAACCTGGCCTTGAACACCACCAGGGAGGGGGCAGCCACAGCTTCTCTGGGCAACCTGTCCCAGTGTCTCACCACCCTCACAGTGAGGAACTTCTTCCTTACATCTAATCTAAATCTACCCTCTTTCAGTTTAAAACCATTACCCCCCTCATTCTATCACTACATTCCCTGATAAAGAGTTCCTCCCCATCTTTCCTGTAGGCCACCTTTAAGTACTGGTAGGCTGCTATAAGGTCTCACTGGAGACTTCTCCAGGTTGAACAACCCCAACTCTCTCAGGCTGGCCTCATAAGGGACTTGCTCACTGGTTTGTTTTTGCATACCAAACTAGTTTAATGTAGACATTGCACTTGAAAATGGTGACATTGAATTTTTGGTATGGCTGTCTCTCCTTTTCCACCATTTACTTTGGAAACATAGATCACGAACCTTGAAGAACAACTGGAGCAGTTTCGAGAGGAGCTAGAAAATAAAAATGAAGAAGTTCAGCAGTTGCACATGCAACTAGAAATTCAGCGAAAGGAGTCCACTACGCACTTGCAAGAACTTGAACAAGAGAACAAATTATTTAAGGTAGCTGTGTAACGGAGAAGCCTAGAGCTTTATTCTCTCTCATTCCCAGAAAAGAAATCTTGGAAAATGCCAAGATGCCGGATTGTTTCTCAAGCATTCCACAGTTCAACTTGCAAAATGTTAGAAAGTTCATATAATTACTTCTCATTCCATGCAATTTGTTTATTTTGATTCCTATGCCTTACTCATACAAGAATATGCAGAAAAAGTTATGTACAACTGTAACATGGTTTGGGGTTTTTTTTTTTGGTAGGATGAAATGGAAATACTGGGACTAGCCATCCAGAAATCAGAAGATGCCACCATAAAGGACCATCATTTAGTGGCTGGGAGGCTTGCTCACATCATGCAAGAAAAGGAGCAGGAAATAGATCATCTTCATGAACAAATTGCAAAACTGCAACAGCAACTTGAAGTCACAACTGACAACAAAGTACATTCTTTTGAAATCTTTTTCAGAGTCCTACTTTTGTGTTGCTAGCTGTTTAAAGAAAAAAAAAAACCCTCCATCCCCGCACCAATTACATTATCTTCTGTTGCTGCCTTAATTTAAAAATGCAAATGCTTCAGTTTCAAGCAACACTTTAACCCTAATCTGTTTTTCCTCTTTTGTCTCATTTTTTATGAAGGATAATTTTTGCTTGCTTTTCTTTTTATTATTTTGCCTTATTTCTGCTTGAGTTTTTGTCTTAAATTCTTCATTCCTTATTCTTCTAATACATATGAATATTTAATAGTATGTAGGTAGCTGAATTCAATTTCAACATCCGTTCTACCATCTTCCCTACCATGACTTACTTTCACTGTTATATTTTAGTGACACCTGCTGGATCATGTTGGATTTTATAGGTTTTTTAGCAGTTGAACTTTGGTGTTCCATGAGCTTCTGTAAATACTTTGTCATCATACCAATGTTGGCAACATCTTTAATACAGTTTGAAGCATGGTGAATTTCCAAACAAAACACTGTATTTTATTAGAAATGGCAAGTAAGAAAAAAAAGAAGCAGATTAATCTTTATTTACTGAGATTTAACACCTGTAGTTTTCTGTTAGTTTTCAATTATGTGTGTTTATTATAATGAGCTTTGTCATCTTCTGGTTTACATTCATTTTATACAGATAGAGTACATTTGATTTCAACATAAATACTGCTTACTTTGCATTGATGTAAGTGACAGCAGAAACAGGCCTTTGGTCTCACACTTTATAGAAATAAAATTGGATTTTTTCAGTGCTTTTCGACCACTTTAAATGTGATTATTAGTCATAAGCTTTAATCCCAAAACAAGTATCATTTAGTAAGGTAAGAAGACGAGTTCTGTTCCACAACACTGATTGAACATTTCAGGTAACATTCTAACAGGGCATATTGAATGCCCTGAAATAGAGCTCTGACAGAGCTGGATAATTTCACTGAGTTTTTATGTAGAAAATTTAGTTATAATGAACCTCAGCAAATAATGACAAAACTTTGGATTGGATTCAGGAAAGATCTTACTTTAGAAATCCACAACGATTCTGCTTTATACAATGACCACAGTAATATGGTTACACTTATTGCCTTGAGAGAAATAGCCAGGTTTCAGGTATAATTCATTTTAATGGTTCTTCTCCTGTTATATGAAGCTTCATTTTCTTAATTTCATCCTCTTACTCAGTTATATTTTCCAGGACATTAAGTAATTACTCTTCTTGGTTATGAGATCAGTATTAAATATTAATAGGTTGTTCTTAGGTTAATCCATTTCTTAGTCCCTTAGACATCTTATCCCACTAAGTGCTTTTCTTTTAATTGCTGTATTTGCCTTCTGTGGTGCTTTATTTCATTATGTTATGAAGAACAGAAACCCTTATGCTGACTTGATAGCAAGCACCAGGATCATTGTTTTTTTCTTCTGAAAACCAGTAACTTGTTCACATTTTATTCAGTGGTATTGATCTTCCTCTAGTCTCTGTGGATTTTTAAAAACAAGTTCTTCATTGGCAAATCAGTCCCTCTAATTTAATCGTCATGTTTATAATTTATTTTTGTACATATTATATTGTACAGTTACATTGCAAAGTCATCTTATTATTCTATTTAACAAACTAAACCTAATGAATTATTGAAAGATAAAGGAAAACACATGGCCATTTTAGTAATGAATTTAGTAATCTTTCTTATCTTCCACATTTTTTTCTTCATATTTCTAGAAGGCCCTTTTAGAGTCCTTACCTGTTTTAGGTACCATAATTAGTTTTATTTTCCAATATCTCTTTCTGAATATTTTTGACAGATTTCTTCTGCCTTTTTCATTTCCAGTGTAGAAGCACTATTCATTTCAGATCTCCATACATTCCATTAAGAATATATATATACACTTTGTTTCTTAGATTTACTACTTATAATTTGGTCTGTCTTTATTTTGACTTTGTAAAGGATTTTTTGTCATTTGACAATATACTCAAATGAGAATTTGCTCCCATTGCAATTTAACAAGCAGGGTTTTTTAATTAATTCTATAAAACTTACTGTGTTGGAATCTGATAACGTCTTATTATTCCTTTTAAATTTAGTTTTCATCAACACCAGTCATTCCACTTTTTGTGTTTACATCTGTTTCTTGTTAGAAGCAGATATAAGATGGCTTCTGTTTTCTGCATCATAAAGTCTTGAACTGTTTTCTGTGGTCTCAGGCTAAAAAGCATGTTATAGTGATATCTTTCAACATAATTAATTGAAGGTCTATTTGTATTTAAAATACATATCCATCTTAATTGGCTGTGTCCTATATAAATCTATTTGACTGTATGAGTGATTGGTGCTTTTGCATGAAAAGCACAGTATCTGTCTAATCTAACTTAACAGATCTGGCCTGTATATGGTAAGCTTGAGGATTTTTCTTTTTTTTAGGGAAAGTTCTTTATATAATGTAGGAAGATTTATCTGTAGGTTTTAAGCTTCATAAATCTTGGTGCTTTGGAATTCTTTGAGTAAAAAAAATATATTAAACTTTGACTTCATAAGAAGATTGAACAGCAGACATGACCACTCCTCTTGGTTCCATTTTAATTTTCAATAAAAAGGACAAGATAGAGCTTTAGACCAAACTATTAGGAAAAAAGTATTGTGAACACTTACACTTCAATGTTTCATACCTCTGTGAATGTTACAAATGATTTCACACTTATTTTGCAGTTCATTAAGGTCACAGGCTACTTTGTCAGTCCTTTGTGAAGATTCTCATAAAGCTTTACAAGAGATATCCCATTAAGAAATTCACTGAGGACATATTTTCTTTTGCAAGGTGTTTCAGTGTTTGATTAAACTGTTGCTGTGAAGTCCAGGAGAAAAATAACCTGAGGTTTTAATAGTTACCCATGATGAAGTTACTGTTGTTTTGCGTTTTTTTTCCAGGTTATTGAAGAGCAAAATGAGCATATACAGGAGCTTGAAGCCCAGGTAGAATGTCTGAAAAGTGATCAAGAACGTGTGAAGAAAAAAAATGATGAGGAAGTAGAGCAGTTGAATGATGTAATTGATAAGCTTCAGCAGGAACTGGCAAATATTGAACAGAAAGTACCTGCAGACATTGCTGCTTTTCAGGAAGATGCTGATAGTCTGAAACACACACTTGAAACAGTCCTGGCGGAAAAGGAAGCTTTGAAAAAGCAAGTAGAAAACGTAAATGTAGAGGCATCTCGAACAAAGAATGAGCTTGAGGAAACTAAGTTAAAAATGAACCAGCTAAAGGAAGAAATAAGTATGTTGAAAAAAGAGCATGAAAGCATAACAGAGAAAAATAAATATGCACTAATGAAAGATGTTAGGGAAAAAGCAGAAGATAGGAGCGATAGGAAAACTGAAAAAGTGGAAGAAGGCTTATGTGAGAAGATAGAGTTACTAAGCCAATCCCAGCTTAGGTCTTCAGATGAGAATATAAGAGTCACCATTAGCAAGATGGAGGTACAACTGCAGCAACTTCAGGCATGCATTAAGGAAAAAGATTTAGAACTGTGCCAGTCCTACAATGAAATAAAAGTCCTGAAAGAGCAAGGCAAAGCTGAAAGAGAAACACTTAAAAAGAGGATATTAGAACTGGAAAAAACACTAGTGGAAAAAGTTGCTGCTGCTCTTGTGAGTCAGGTTCAGCTGAATGCCATTCAAGAGCAAAGGAAATTCGTGCAAGAATTTCAAGAAGCTTCAAAATGTGTGGAGGAAGCAAGCAGGAATGCCCAAACAGGGGGTTTGAGTGATAGAACTGAAAATGAGATGGAGTCAAAATTATCACTCTTAACACAGAGGCTTAGGGAGATGGAGGACCAACTGGCAACCGTAAATCATAACTTGGAGCTAGAAAAACAAAATGTAGAAGTTGCACAAAAGGAAGCTAAAGTGAAAGAAGAAAGACTCTTAGAACTTCAGCAGTTACTAGAAGAGGTTCAAGAAAAACACAAAGGAGAGATTCAGAAATACATTAAGCAAGAAGAAAGGCAGTCATGTCAGGTAATTGGATGCCATTTTCTTTGGGCTTGTTTTCACTAAAATCTTTTATTTTATGTAAACTATAATGAATGCAAGAAACACTTCTTAATGAAACAAGTGATAGGAATATTCTGCTGTGTGGGCTAGACCTTCATTTCTCTGTTATTCCTGGAGTTACAAAGAAGAGCAGGATGTTATTTTAGGTGAACCCACTGTCAGTTTCTATTTTGCATTAAAAATACTTTGCCTTTCTGTGAAAGTAGGGTGATTTTGAATTTTGGACATATACTTTCTTATTCTTGCATTGAATTGACATAGAATGGAGTGAGTTACACTTTTACGTGGCATGGAGGTAGATAAAAATTAAAATGATAAAAATTATCTAAGAGAGGGTTCAGAACTATATGGGAGTGATAGCAGTTTGTACAGTTGGGTTGGGAGTGGGGAGCAGGTTGCTTATGTATGCTTTGATTTTGGTTTACTTTTTCTTGCTTTCCTATCTTGATTCCAAAGATATTTCCCATCAGTAGTTTTTACCAGTATACATTTGTCCTGATTTCCATCCACCACTGGTTTTGTTGCCTCTGAATTTAAAACCTTTAGTCAAAGTTGACTATGCTTGATAGCCCAAATGTGGGCTTGATTGCTGAAACTTCTAAATTCAGAGACATCATGGAACCCAGTGCTGGACTAGAAAAGGTTCTAAGACCTTTCATCCAAATGCAGATTGAATGAATGTCATAAATGTCTTAGAAATTTAATAATGTTATCAGACTTCATTGCCTACTCTCTGGTGACCTTCCTCCTTCTGCTTTCTACATGGTGTAGCCAATTTATGGTTTCAGTTCAGTAAACTGTAAGAAGACAGTCTTCCCTCCCATGCTTATCCAGTTTGTGGGAGTTATTCTAGGAAAATGGTCTTTCAGTCTTAATTTTTTGAGGTTGTGTTAATCCAAATAACATACATTTGTTTTCCCTTACAGTCTTTTCATTTGTGGCTTTTGTAAGTTGATGTGAGAGTGGTCAGTACTGTTAAGGATTCTTCCTAAGATTATTCACCATTTTCCATGTGTTATGTTGTAGGTAGGAGCACAACTCATAGAAAGTCAGAAAGAAAATGTGCTTATTAATGAACTTGAACTAGAGCAAATTAAAGAAGAGGCAGCTGCTGCAAAGGAAGAACTGAGCAGTTACAGAGAAAAGGCAGAAAAACTTCAGCAAGAGCTAGCAGTAAGAACCAGATTGTTCCATATTGTATTTAAAGCAAATTATTATACAAGATTTATTGTGTAAATACGCATGCTGTGGTTTTTTAAATCTTGTACTGAGAATGCCACTAAGAAAAATGGTCACTCAGTATCTACTGTCAGTGGAATAGAGCTGATGCTGTAGACCAAATCTTCACTTACTGCCAAAGTACATAGTTTTACAGTCCACCATAGTGCAACAGTGGATCTAGAGCTGTATTTCTTAGGAGATAATATTTGTTACCATGTGTCAGAACTGCTTTAAAATAAGACTAAACTGAACTCTAATGGTGTAGAGAGTTGTCTGGGGTTTAGATTTTTTTTTTTTTTTAAAGTATTTGGAAGGACTGCAATTCAGATTCTCCATATTTACAGGTAAAAGAAGCAAGCCTGATGCATCTTCAGGAAGACCTGTGCAAAGTCAAAAAGAACCTAGCTCAAGCAGAAGAGAGGCTTGGAAGTTATATGAGAAAGGACAAGGAAATGGCAAAAACTGAAAGCAAAAAGGATGCAGAAATATTGTGTGATTTGTCAACTAGTGAGTCTACTCTAATTAGAAGCAGCTCACCATCGCAAACAGACAGCTGTATCCAGACTTCACCAGTGCTTGTTAAAAATGCGGAAATCCAGATAGATTTGCAAAATGGATGTTCTTCAGAAGAAATTGCAGAGATCATAAGAGAATTTACTGAAAAAATTGACCAAATGCAAGAACTCCACGCTGCTGAAATCATGGACATGGAGACAAGACATATCTCTGAATCTGAAGCATTAAAGAGAGAGAGGTTTGTTGCAGTGCAAGCGTTGACTGAAGAATGTAATACATTAAAGGAAGTCATAGAAACTCTACAAGCTAAAGAGGTATGTATCCTATTTTATATTCATTGAACTACTTTGGTTTGTGCTTTCGCTCCTGCTACAGAAATTCCCATTTAAAGTGTGTTAAGTGTGAACCACTGCATGTTCAGTATAAAGCTTTTAAGTGTTCTACTGTTTCCATGGCCTGGGGAGAACCCCTTCCTCAGCAATTTAAGTTCGGGAGTGTGCTCGACTATCAGATGCTTCCTTGTGCTACTGCCTTGGACCTGTCCTGCTCTGTGAAGTGGGGACAGGTGTAGGTCACCCTATTGAATGCCATCTTTCTTATCTCCATTTTGATTACTTTGATTGCAGGGGAAACTGAATAAAGAGGCTCATATCATTTCCAGCTCCTTAAAATTAGCTTCCATATTGTGAGTAGGTGTGGGGTGATTAAAGATTTGTTTGTCCTCTTTTCTAAATGTAGGGAATCCCAGTTTCTGGATTAGCACGTTCTCCACCATATCAAGCTAGAGATGGAGGATCTAGTGGTAAGAAACTTGTTCTCATAGATTTCAAACAGCATTATACATTGAATCTGCTTTTTTAATATCAAGTTTACCATTCAAGAGGTTGTGTTCTAAGAAATAAAAACAACTGTTCCCCAGATCAAAGCAGAAGCCTGCTGCACTAACAAAAGGTGCTGAGCATGCCATGTATATTAATTTGCTACAGAAAGAGAATGACTCAAGTGGAGATAGATTGAGTCGGGGCATCAGATGCTGATTTTTTTTCTTCCTACTGGAGTTCCTATATTATTCTTACATATTACATTATCTCTTCAGCGTAGCTTCATCATCTCGTGATATAATTTAAAGCTACTGGTCCCCAGCAGTGGGAGATGATGATGGGTACTGACTTCTTCAAGAGCATTAAAAATTATTAATATGATCCTTTTCATAAACAAAGGCTAGGCTTACTTAGGAGAGGTCATTTGGCAAAATTGTTTGAGCAAGTAGTTGTTTCTTTTTTATAACTAAACTAGGATTTTTAAGTTTAGGGTTTTTTAGTTTTGTTTTGCTGTTACTGCTTTGAAACTGAAAAAGAAAAACTATAAAACAGGTAATGTTCAGGCTTAGAATCAACTCTGGTGACATTCAACTTCCTGTTACAACAACAGATAAAAATACTCTTTTGATGCTTGTTCTTCAAAGTTTCACAGTAATCCATCTTTCATGTTTTCTCTCCTTTTATTTTAGACTCCAGTTCAGACTGGAGTCAAGGAATGTATCTTGCTCAGACCCAGGGATCTGACATTATATCTGAAGGAATAGATGAAGGTGAAACTTCAACAGATTTACTTCCAAAAAAGATTAAGGTAAAATAGAACCGATCGTTTTTATTATGGAACAAGAGTGATACTGCCAAAATCTTAGATTAGCTGCTGCTTAATTAGTGAAAAGAAGGCTGTTTAGGTAAGTTTTAAGGTGTCAGCTATTTTGATGAATTTTAAAATACTTCTGATAAATGATGTGCTTTTTTGCATGTTAAATTAGGATAAATATGAGTTTTGTAACTGTAGGGTATCATGCTTTTAATTACGTTTTTTTAAAAAAAAAAGCAAAGCCCTAGCTTAATAGTCAAGCGAATTGAAAAACTCACATGGAAGCTTTCCAGGACTTTGTTTTTAAAATGTCGGTGTCCATCAGCAACCATTTTAAAATTTTAGTATTGATTTGACAGATGAACTTTGGGAAATTTCATTTGAAACTGAGGAAAAATACACCTATTTAATAAGTTCTACAGTTTGGCAGATGTAAAGAACTGGGTAACACTTCTGTCTTTGATATGAGGCAGCATAAATAGTTTCCTTCTGCTGATCAATTTAGAAGTACCACTGTTCCAGTATATATGAAATAAGATTGTTGTTGTTATTATTATTATGACTGACATTACTGATTTCTTTTTTTATTTATTGTAGGGTTTGCTGAGAGCAGTTCATCATGAAGGCATACAGGTGCTGTCTCTCACTGAATTTCCATATGGTGAAAGAGAGATGCCACCTCTTAAGCAAGAGCCAGAATCTTGGCTTGAGGAAAGGAAAGCTTTTCTAAGCACCATTTCATCTTTGAAAGACCTTATTGCAAAAATGCAACTTCATAGAGAAGCTGAGGTATAAATAATATCATAAATTATAACTAAATTTTTTAAAAATTCTGATAACCTTATAAGGCACATTCACAAATCAGGTTTAAATGCTCTAAATGTGCTGCTACAAGGCAAAAGATTTCAAAAATCCACAGTAAAACTGCATGTCTCACTTTCTGGTAACAAATTGTATCTTACAGCCTGCATTTTTTCTTCTGGGGATTGATAGCTTTTGACTGTATAGATTAAACTTTAAAAATAATTTTATTTTGAGAGCATGTTTCCAGTAGGAGTTAAAGTAGATTTTTTTAATGTTGTTACTTATTGGTGTAGTAGAATCGGATGCTATTAAAAAAGATACTGTAATGAGAGAAAAGAAGGAAAATGGTTCAAAATATAACATGATATTAAAGTCAGTAATCTGTTAAAACTTAATGGAAATCGCTAATTACCCCAGTTAGACTTTTGAATATATGTAGGCAGTTTTAATTACTTCTACATTTCCTTTAGCATGAGAAGCAGTGGGATTAACTTTATATCATTATAAAATTAAACCTTCTTCATACACAATATCTGCACACTACCACATAGCTCTGTGAGAGTCTAGGAACATACATGCAACATCATAAAAATTAAAAGGATAGTGTGATACAGTAAGAAATAATAACTACATGGGGCTGAGTTTTCAGTTACAAAAAGCTAAATTGCTTCCATCTAAAACACATATAAAAGTTTAGCATTTGTGCATGCAGAAGAAACAATGTATAATAAATACATCCATTTGTACGAATGAATGTTACATAGCTATTAAGAAAAGCTCAATATTCCACTGAAAACACACGCTTTACGTAAAACGATAACGATCATTCTTGATGTAATCTTTGAATCCTGGTGTTTAAATTGTTTTTATACCACTGTAGATTTATGCAGGTACTGAATCTCCTGAAGGTGTCTCAGACTGGCGAGGAGAACTTCTGCGTGCTATTCAACAGCTTTTTGTGAGAGAACAAAATGTTCTTCTTGCTGCGTTTCAAACTGAACTTGCGGAACTGGGTACAAGAGACGCAGTGGTATTGATGAATCAGTTAGAGCACAGACTACAAGAGCAGGTAATTTAAAACATACTTTAGTCAGTCTGTTTGTTTACATTAGATTTTAATTTTGAATGTATAAATCCATTTAAAATTACATTTATTGATAGTAGTTTTGATAGTCTAAGGGTGAAATCAGAGTAAAACTTGTAGGAAGAAGTGTCTTTAAAAAGAAAAACTGATGTGTTATGGGAAAGATTTTTGCATGCACAAACAATAGAAAAAATACAGCCTTCAGAGGTCAATATGAGTTAAACGCAGTTGTCCTGAGCTTGGTTTCATTAAGTTAATTAGAATTACATTACACTGTCTAAGAGAAAAGGTAGCTTGTATATATGAAGCAACTTGTAAGAAGAGGAAGTGATAAGGCTGCTGTGGGACAGAGAGAGGTCAGTTATTGCTTCTGGAACATGGAAGGATTAGTGAGGAAAATTACAATTTGCCATAAAACTGATAACTCGTTTGATTCTATAATTTTGATGCCTAGTATAAAACCAAAAAAAATAACAAGCGATTCTTCCCAATATTATAATACTGACTTAATTATTACTTAATTGAAATTGGTTTGTGTATATATGCACTGTGAATATATAAGTAAATGTAATATCCACACCATAAGTATTCTAATAAAATCTGGAGTTTTACTTTTAAATGTTTCTAATGCTAATAGGCTACTAACCAGAGGGCAGCAATGGACTGTCTTCAGAATGCAGACAGAAGAAGTTTGTTGATGGAGATTCAAGTTTTACATGCTCAGATGAACAGTAAGAAAAATAATCCAAAGAGAGAACAAGAGTTTGATTCAAAAAGCCAAGGTGACTTCCCTGGTAATGTCTATTTCCAAATGCTTTCATGGCAAAGCTCATAATGTAGATGAAGAAAAGTTGACTTTCTTTGCTCTCTGATTTTGATACTCATGTTCTGAGTGTGCATACTTTTCACCTTTTTCAAACTTACTGGACTAATTTTGCAAAAATTAGGATATAGTCTGTGTTCTTATGACTTGTATCAAATTAAAAGCAATACAAAGTTATTTTAAGGTTCTATTTAAAGGTTATTTTCCATGTATGCAATTCATTGTTTAGGTTCGACAGCTTTGAAATTACCTGTTGGATAGTCAGTCATGATGAGTAAACTACGAAGCAATTAGAATGAACAACAACTAGTTCAGAGAACGGGTATACCTTAAGTAAATGTTTGCTGTGAGTGTTTTGTCACAAAAACTTGGTCACAAGTATACATACATACCTAACTTCAATTATGTTAGTCATAATCCAAATGATATATTTTTATGTGGTTGAGCACATAGCCTTTTAAACAAGTTTAAGAGTTAAAGTGATTTCTTAGAAAGTATGAAAGCTATTCCAGTATAAAAGGCATGGTTTTGCTTTCACTCCACTATTGAAAGAATACATTATTTTAAAATATCACTCTTAGTGATAGCCTTGTGGTCTCTGTGCTAGGGGAGTCTTTACCCAAATAGTATTGTTTACTAAGTAATTTCTGTATTAATGGTACTCTCATTAGAAATGCTGGAGTATAATATGCAGCAGAAGCAGTCACAGATACTGGAGATGCAGGTGGAGCTCTGCAGTATGAAGGACAGAGCAGCTGAGCTTCAGGAACAGCTGAATTCAGAGAGAATGATGGGTGCTGAGCTGAAGAATGAACTTGCACAAGCCAAACTGGAGCTTGAAGCAACCCTTAAAGCACAGCACAAGCACTTCAAGGACCTAGAAACCATCAGGTGTGGCTTTCAGTGCCAAATTTCCTGTGTTGACAGTGAAGACGATCTTTTCTATGTTGTCTCAAATCGTAATACTAATTTTATTAAGGAAGTTGATCTCATGTAATGTAAATTATCTCAGTTTTTCTGTAAAACGTATCTGACAAAAAACAGACTTCTGTTTTGTTTGACAAAAAACGTAATTCTATAGATTAAGAAGATCTGATCCATGGTTTGATATAATGATTTATTAATATCAAGTTTCTTCTTAAATTTTGACACATTAGACTACCGTATACCAGCTAATAAGTGTACTATATTTATTAAAGGTTTTTCTGCTTCTAAAATTGAACATGGGGAGAAAAACCTTCAGAGTTAGGGTGACTTTGAAAATATTTCCGTATTAAATTCTATAACATCTGAGTGTTGCTTTGGTCAACAGCAGAGGTAATAGGCCAAATATTTGTCACTCAAGAAACCTGTTGTTATTTATGCCTTCACCAGAGAGACATGCCTATGTGTGGTATCTTAATGTTCAGCTCAGAGATAACAAACTAAGATAAGATTTTAAATTTATATTACTTCATAGATTATCTTACAGCCTTTACAGACCACCAGGATCAAGATTCTTGCATAAATTGATAGAAAATTGATTTAGAAAAAAATTAAAATTCAGGGCACAGATTTCCCCCCTGCTCCCCCCCCCCC